TCCCGTCATCCCTATCTTCGGAAAAGCATCCCTAGCCCGCTCAAACAGACTAGACTTCCTCCTTAATAGCCCCGCTGTAGCATGTCTCATTCCAACTAAAACCACCACGCAAGGCCACGAACCCCATTTCAGCATCAACTGCGCTGCACGCTCCCTCCTCGCCTCTCTCCTTTTCCCAATTCTCACCTCTACAGCTTAAACTCCATTTACTACATCAAACTCCGTCCGCGTAATCTTTACCTCCAGCACAGTCGTGGATTTCCTCGCTCGGGCGGGCGGTGACCCGTCTTCGGCCCTCACTTCCTCCCCGGATCCCAAATCAGACACGAATGCGAACTACACCATCAGCAAAACAGGCAACTGGTTCCTGGCGGCCCATTTCGCATCGACCCTTGGGTCGAAGGGTGTGGTCAGCATTACTCAGAATTCGGGGATGATTGATACCCCGTTCTATGATAATGCTCCGAGGCTGAGTGTGAGGGTTAGTAAGCCCGTGTTTTACACGCTCGAGGTTGGGGTAAGTACCCCCCTTTGGGCCGGCTTTGAGAATGGGATTACGGTGGATTATGGGAGAAGGTAAGTCATTCCAATTTGGAGGTGGAATCCTGGGCCGGGGCGGGGGATTATTTGCTGGGGGCGATGAGGGATGGAGGGTCTGGGGAAATGGTGGAGTTTGTGGAATAGTGTGAAAGGTGTTGTAAATGCGTTTCGGTAGGTGGCTTTGTAAGAGATATGAGTATGATCGTGTATATAACTTATATAATAGTGTAAATCGTACATGTAGGCGGATATTACTACGTAGTCTCCATAGCTGATCGTAACGATAGCGGTATTTCTCACTATCTCCTTTTTTCCTCTACCACTACGCGTTAGCTGCTGCCTAAGCATAAACAGCTCTTTCTCCCCAATCCTATAGTCTATAATATGCACAAAAATGTACTTTCAATTCTATACATCATAATTCTGTTCATCTAGAATTGAATTTAGACTTGCATCAGATAACCTACTCCAGGATGGATACCGTAAATATATACTGAATATGAGCATGTTAATAGGTTCTGGGGTAGTGTCTTTGTGCCTTGCGGTTACTGTTGAGATGGATGTGATCTCTAGTTGTGGTAATATGTAGCGTACTGACAATTATGAGAATATGTTGTACACTTTCTAAGAGTGATGGTTTACAGCCAGCACGTCTCAATTGGGAACATCTTCAAAGACAGGTGGCATATCGATATAGGCTTGATGACACTTCTCTCAGCCACCCGGGGCTGATTGGGAAGTAGGTGAGCCGCTTCCTGAATGTGACACCTTTCATCGCAGTCAAAATCAAACTTTGTCCTGACAAATATTCACTAAGATTAAATAATTACATATCGAAACTATATCCACACCATTAAGTATATACGTCTCCTCCCAAACCAACAAACTTTATACAACCCCTGATCACCACACTCACCTCCCCGAATATCACCTCAGCTCCAAATCATTACATCTTATTCAATCATTTCCAAGGCAACCCCTCCCCCTTACACGCATCTACCTCCCACTTCTCAAAGTACCAAAGATGGGCCTCGAAATGCAACAAATTTGGGAACCCAACATCCCCCCTCTTATCATCCCCATCCTGAAACACCACCACATCCTGCGTACTCACACTCTGATTATTCCCCGAGCTAATCCAATACTCAGGACTAATATGCTTGTACCCCATCACCTCCAACGGCACCCTGGGCACCGGATCATCCGTATGCGCGAACCGGTAGTTCGCCCCCTTGTTCTGATTCGTAATGAACTCTGCTAGTTTGGGGTTCGCTACGCGCGGTGATGCGTACGCGTATAATGTTGCGTTGAGCCCGTCGGTCTCGCGGATATCTGCTGCTGCGAGTGTCGCGATGGCGGCTCCCAAGGAGTGGCCCACGATGACGAGTTCGTAGTCGGGGTATTGAGATACCGTGTTGTTGAGCGTGGGGGTCAGGGTCTTGCGGACGTTTGTCCATGAGCTCCAGAAGCCGAGCTCGGCTTCGCACCCGCTGCAGAGGTTGGGGTCCGTGTAGACGAAGGTGAAGTCCGCTAGCCAGCTGCGGATTGAGTAGCTGCCCCGGAAGGCGAGGATGATGGCGCGGTGGGTGTGGTCCACGGCTAGGTAGCCAGAAGTGTCGGTGGGGGTGGTACTAGGAGTTGGTTAGGATTGTGTTGGTGGAAGGAAGGGAGGGGAATGTACTTGGAGAAGTCGGTGATGATTGTCGCATTGGAGGCTTCGACTGCAGGGCAGTTCTGTGCCGAACAGGTTATTTTGTGGCCTGCCTTGCCGGCATAGTTGGGCTCGCAGTAGGAGGCTGCGGCGTATTGGACCCAGAAGGTGAAGGTGTCGAGTTGTTGAGTGGTGATGTCTGGAGTATCGGGGAATTGGTCAGTGGGGGAGAGGAATGAAGTTCTTTGGAATGTGCATTGGTACCTCTCTTGTGAAGAGCCCTGCCTGGGAGGGCATTACAGCCGGCTATGGCGGATGCAGCCACGAGTAGGGACTTGAGGAGACGCATGGTGATGATGATACTGGGCAGATGATTGACATCGTTACACAGGGCAAGTCGATCATACTTATGTTTCTGATGTGAAAAGTTTTTGTTCTGCCCAACGCTTTTCCATCACATGAACCAAAGGTAAAATCGGCGATCACATCCATTATCTTCAGCTGTACGGATCGAGCTGTGGGGGCTACTGCATTCCTATTTCCTTCAGCTGGACTGGATTGTGGGACTACTAGCAAATCCCGAATTGCCGAGTCTAGGGGATGGCCTATCCCCTGGCAGGGATACAATTGGAATTAGAATGCAACTATCGAATGTTTGCTTGTTTTTGGTTATCCGATCGACGATCGTCGACTATCGACAAATCAGGGATCGGGATTGGCAGGGGGTGAACGGGGCACACGGGAGCGGCCCAAATTTAGGGCATCACAGAGGATCTGGTGGAGACGATAGATTTCTGCAGGCAGCCACTCACGAACTCCTCCATCCACGGTTAATTCAGGTACACGGCGACAATTGTCCGCTGCTGGCCACGTGTAATTGTCATTTTGGTGCTTGACGGTACGACTTTATCCTAATTGCTGTAGATCTAACGAATATTCCCCGAGACAAGCACACGGACATCTCCGCTGCTGACCCACTGTGAGATTCGGTTTTCATCGGAACCCTGCTAGATCCAAGGTTCTTAAGAGACATTTCGGAATGTGTGTGCTTAGCCAAGACAACTAGTCTTCCTGCAGTGCCGTCACTACCTCGGCTGCTCCTCGTTGCCCTGCTCGAATGGCCCCCTCCATGTACCCACGCCACACTGTGGACGTTTCTGTTCCGATGAAATGCACTTTACCATGCGGTGCAGCGAGATCAGTACCAATGGTGGTCAGTAAGCCGGGTGTCATGGCTGGACAGGGTGCTCCAAGGAAATAAGGCTCCTTACTCCATTCCATTTCCAGGGTATTGACAGACTTGGGGATGTCTTTTACGAACTTGCTGAAACATTTGCAGAACTGCTCCCATACTTGATTGAACCGATCACCCTGGGACAACTTGGACCATGCTCGTCCGCGACTCCCCACGATGAAGCATGTGATAGACCATTGGTCATCGGTGGGTACACTCGTGTCCCGCGTGAAGGTTATGGGGCCACCCGCAGAGTCGATAATCCCCGTAAACCGAGCGTTGCGCCACCATGGCTCTTGAAAGACGAAGATCATCTTACTGTAGTAGCCCACGATCGTATGGTTGCTTAAAACATGCTTGGCTTGTGGAAGTGGGGGATAGAAGGAGATGCTTTGGTACAAGTTCGTAGGAATAGACACGATAACGCGTTGACAACTAAACGAACTGCCATCAAGTGTTTGGACCACGCAGGGACTATCGTCATGAGACTGACTGATTGACGTGACAGGCACGCCCAAGAAGATGTCGGATTGGTTGAGCTCATCTGCCATCTTCCGAGCGATAGTTTGGGTTCCTGCGCCGTTAGCACATTAATGTCAAGCAGGCTTGACGATCGTTGCTTTACCTTGCCTGGTGCGTAGGTACTGCGCTCCATCCTTCTCATCCGACAGGAGATTGTCGATCCCACTTCCACTTTTGAAATAATACAGCATATACAACGCACTAACTTCCTTACTATCCACCCCAAGCAGCCCCGATGAAATAGCATCTGCCATGTGAACTGCATCCTGCGATCCAGACCTATCAACGCAAAATTCCTCGAAGGTCATATTATCCACTTCCTTGGCCTCTGGAAACCCTTTTGGGTCGTCCAAGTCCATCCGCGAGGACTCATCTCGCAGAATAATCATCAATTTCCGCGCAAGCCCAGTCTAAACGTCATCAGTAGCCGACAGCACCTCCTTGATCTATGTTTAACTTACCAAAGGCCATCCGTACGGTATCTTGCGAATCACCCCCTCACCTGATTCGAGAATATCATCTCCACGCGTATACTGTACCACCCCATCCAGTCCGTACCTCTGATGGAGTTTGAAAATCTCACTCTGGTTCGTATCATTCACCCAAGCCGCTCCTAGATCATAGTATCCCTTTTCGCTGGACTTCACGGTCAACGTCTTCCCGCCCACTCGGTCCGTAGCTTCCAGGATACACAAGCTGAATCCTGCTGCCTGGATGGAATGCGCTGCTTGGAGTCCGCTGAGTCCGGCTCCCACGATTACCACATCGTAGATTTTAGCAGTAGGATCTTTGGATGCAGTCATATTAAGCTCAAGGGTTACAGTAGTGGGGATCGGAGAGTTGTGTGACAGCATTTGTCGGAGGTTTTTTATGCTAGGTAAACTGAGGGGGGGGTGGAACACAAAGAGGGTGGCTGGTTGTTGCTTATCCTGGGCCGCGGTTTATCAATCCGCCAATCAGATGTCCATAGGTACTGACTCGTTAATATAAGAGAAGATTTGGGTTTCCGATTATATATCGCATTCTAGTATAATACATACCTAGCAAAGAGGTCTAATGAAACTCGAACTGATGACAATCAGAGTATGTTGTGGACAGGAAATGTACGCTCCAATCGGCGGTGACGAAAGTCGAGAGAATATCTTGGCGAACCGGCGAAAAATTGAGCTGGTTGAACCGCCTCGGACCCGCACAAACCAATACAAGAAGAGCGCAGCAAACACGTTGAACGCGATGTATGCCCACATAAGTCCAAAATTGCGCCAACGATCGGCATAAGAAGCGGATAGTAATGTGAGATAAACATTCGAGTCAGTCATCTCGCAGTATTCACAGTTGGCGGTTGCCTGGGGATTGTAAACAGAACCTCCAGCGATTTTCATGTAATCGGCGAGGTAACTGGCACAAGTCTCGTTGGCTGGAGGTTGAACGATTACCAATTCCAGACCAGAGCAGTGAACTGCAGTATTCGCTAACCCGGCCGAAAGCATGCCGCCAACGAGATAGGTCATCGGGGATACTCGATACATGAAGATCCAGAATCCTGGAAGACTGGCCGGACTGGCCATGACACTGTGAAGGTGTATTAGACGGACCGAAATTGAAATCCTAAGATGTAGACAGTGAAACGTACCCGCAAAATATTAAACACATAGAGAACAGTAGCAGAGCTAGTGTTGCACCGACCTCAGCAGTTGCGACGCTAGCAACCACCATGATCGTGAATGTACCACAGTGCATCATGAAAGACCACACCAGAAGAAATATGAGTCCGCTCCTTTCATTCACCGCATGAGTTTCCTCGGCGTTATGATACATCCCAATGATGTAGTAGAATGGAAGATAGATCAGCACTGCCGCAAGAGAGTTCCAGGGGATGTCAACTATGATGTTGGCTAACATGAACGCAGACCAAGCATATGTCTTGGCTGGCCTTTCACGGACCTCGTACAAGTCGCGTTGCTTGATTAAATTAGGCATGGTCTGGTAAGCAAGGAATGCGAAAATAACAAGGAGCATGAATATCGCGAAAGTCTGGTGCTGAAGACCTAGGACCGTAACTTCCGTATTTAGAAATGAAAGTCCAATAAACAGGGCCTGCATAGTGTGTCAGATATTTAAAGCCGACAGCCTGGGGTCGCTCGTATGGACATACCGCTCCGAAGCAGAGTATCAGCTTAGCATAGATGTATGACGGAGAGCGCCAGTACTGTTCGAAAACCCGCTTTGTACAAAGACCCAGCTGGATGTGAAACGGGGTCGCATATTGCTGGACTTGCGCGGCCCCTTTATTCAGGCCAGGAGAGCCGGACTGCTCAAGCCGTTCAAGCTCCTTTCGCGTCTCTTGGAATTCACGGCTCTCTTTCCATGTGACCGGCCAGTCACGCACCGAAGTACTCCCGGGGGCAGCACCGATGACTTCCAACATCCATTCCGCCGGATTCTCCTCTTCCGCACAGGCCCTTGCCCCATATCGCTCAAAGTAGCCAATAAGGTTCTGTGAGTTAGACCCAATTGGCCCAAAGTATACTGTACGGCCACCTCTAGCTAGTAGAAGAAGCCGATCGAATTGCTGGAAAAGAATAGCCGAGGGCTGGTGGATGGTGCACAAGATGGCCTGACCATGGTTCGACAACTTCCGGAGTAGCAGAGAGATAGACCATGCCGTCTGGCTGTCCAGCCCCGACGTTGGCTCATCGAGAAAGAGTAGTAAATCAGGCTTTGCAGCTAGTTCAACGCCAATAGTCAATCTTTTCCTCTGTTCTACATTCAGACCTTCTCCAGGAACACCAACGACAGCGTCAGCGTACGGTCTCATTTCGAGCAAATCAATCACCTCTTCCACATATTGCAGCTTTTCAGCTTTACTGATAGAGGCAGGCTGGCGGAGGAGAGCACTAAACTGAAGTGCTTCCCGAATAGTGCTGGTTTCCGGATGGACATCTTGCTGCTGAACGTAGCCTACCCTGCGCTGAAAGGACGCATCTCGCGGGGTTCCGTTGACGCAAATGTTGCCGGATACAACGCCTGTTTTCACCCTGCTTGCTAGAAGATCCAGGAGTGTTGTTTTTCCAGCCCCTGAAGCGCCCTTTTTCGAGGAGTTAGTTAGATTGAAGATTTGACGAAGGTTATATTATACTCACCATCAACGCAGTCAGAGTGCCTGGGGTTACCCAGCCATCAACGTGATCCGCAATTCGTTTCATTTCGCCCTTGATCGGAACATCGTAGCAAACATCTCTCCAGTGCAAGGTATTGGATTCAAAGCGGAACTTGAGAGACTGGTCTTCTTGACGCCCTTCATGGCTGTCAACGCAAGAATGGCTTGCCGGCGCTGCTTTTTCGGCACTGCTCTCTTCGTCATGGGCGTGTTCCCCGTTAACACGGGCTATCCTATGCTTACGCTGGAATACCAACACTTCGCCTTTGGAGTAGCTGAACTTCACAAATTCGGCAATGAAGAGGTATGTAGCCATGAAGAACAGAATGAAAGCGATAAGAATGCCGAAATTTCTAACTTTCTGTCAGCCAGAGAGTTAGTTCGTTTGGACATCGGTGGTCACTAACCTCCAGGTATGAGAATAATAGTACCCATAGTTTGCCTCTACATATGCGTCTCCGCTGACCACGCTCGAGGCAGAAGTAGCGCCTGCCACAGAGCAGGTTCGATCTGTAGCTGGAATATTCTCATAGCCCGGACCAGAAGGGACAAAGCTTGCACATTCGAATTCGCGATCATGAAACTCGTTCGCCACAAGAGTGTCGTAGGAGTATGCGATCGGGTTGATGTAGTTGAGCCAACGCAGCCAGACTTGCATGTTCCGGGTAGGCAGCACAAAACCGGTGTATACAACTAGCCCAATAGCACCAAGCGCAATGGGAGTGAGAGCCTGTGCAATTGTACGGGTCAGTTGAGCAATGGTACGGAATATCATGGACATAGTCGAGGTCGACATGAACGCGAATAGTAGATATATGACCACATGACCCGACTCCCGCCGCAAGTTCGACATGCAGTATAACGGCAAATTGAAGGACAGCGTAGAGAGGATTTTGCACGGTAGATCGCATATCATGGAGGCCATCGCTTCTGACGATCGGTCGCTGGGCATACAATGCCAATATCTGCTCAGTCAGCATCACGATGCTATTGAAGGGCCATAACGCTCACCTCTAAAGCACTGTTGAGTGCGTTAAAGAGCAAAGCAAAGAACAGGAGAATACATCGATCTGTGAAGCTGGCGGAAGTGTCCGAAAGATGGTAGAAAACACTACCAAGTATAAGAGAGAGAAAAAAGTTGCCAAAAACCGTTACGATAAAGAAAGAAGGATCCCCAAGAATCCTGTGGTAGCCCCGTCGCATACACAAAGCTATCTGTTGCAACACAGAAATTGTGTAGGGAGATTTTTTCGTCCTGAAATTTGAGTCAATGACAGCTCAAATCAGTACCCACAGTGCCCGCTTACATCAAAGGAGACCTTTCGGCATTCCGGGAGTTTTCAAATTTCTGCAACATGGGTCCCCCAATCGGATGGTCTTTCTCGAAGCTCGATATTTCTCCTAGAAGTTTAGCTCTCAGGGCACTCTGTTCCCAACACTGTGCAAATTCGAGAGCCGTAGCACTATCCAAGCCACGAGTACTGTTGTCCCAGCACTGTATACAACTTTGTGTGAGAGCCAATTCTGCAATGCTGACTCGCTTTCTCTCTCCGCCACTGACGCCGCGAATAAAGTCGTCGCCAACCTTAGTATTGACTGTATGGGAAATTCCAAAGACCGCCATAACCACATCGCGCAGATGAGTTGCATAAGTTTCGCGAGAGACTCCGGGCAGCCTATTGTGAGGTGTTCTCGCCAGGGCCGCATACTGGAGGGTCTGCCCAACTGTCAAATGTGGGAAATGGACGTCTGTTTCTGCCTGATACGTCACGTCCCCTCGGAACTTTTGGTGCATCAAATCCCATTCAATCCCTATATTTGTTCAAGATTGAAGGTATATTGTCAGTTCTCCGTCTGTATGTGCCTCTCCCGGTCAGACTCCCACCTTGATAGTTAAATTCCGTTGACTCGTCCAAGAACAGTCCTTTAGTCTGACCGGCGATGGTCTTCAATAGAGTTGATACACCACTAGACGAATCATGTTACATTGAAGAGACGTAGACCAGGGAATTAAGAACTCACCTGCCAGGCCTACCCAGGACAAGGAGCATTTCTCCGCTGCGCAAGAGCCCGTCATGATTTTTTAATATCTGCAGTTTATGGTCTCTGCGGTTGATCAAGCCGCCAACCAGATCACCCAACTGCAAGATAGCGTTCAAGAAATCCTTCTGATAGGCTGTTGAGCGGCCATAGCCATGGACACTGAGGTTCCGGAATGACACACCCGCCGTACGCTGTGGGAACCGATCAGGATCTTGCGAGGACAAGTGAAGTACAGTCCTCGCCCAGTGACTCGCATTGAACTTCGGAGAATTGGGGTCCAAACTCGGATCACAGTGTGTCGTGAAAGGGTTGGGCGGCATACCATCCTGCCGAAACCGTGTCGAGTCTGCCGTGAGCCGTCTGGCAAGATTCATAATCTTGCGCTGGTCTTCAGTCGATATGTCTCCTTGGTACACCTCTGCACTAACAATATCCGTATTGCTACCGGAGTTGACTGACGTAGTCATACTGGTGTCTTCCCTGTCATCCATTTTCGGGCTATATGGAATTCAAAGTTCCTTTCTGTCGCTTGCAGGCCGATCGATGGCGAGAGAGTATGCAAAGCGAGTCAAACGGAAACGTGGAAGACGAATTTGAGGCACTCTGTTAGTGATGGGATCACCGGTAAATCACGAATAATGGTTGAACACATATGACAGAGAGCGCCATCGAATGAATCAACTTGAAACTAAAGGATCAACCAAGTACAATGAGACGCAGTCTTGTTCGCTATATATATGTTATGGAAGTCAATGCGAGACGGACAGCTATAGCAAGCAAGCCCCTTTTGATAGTCATATTTGCTAGCCATGATGTAATGTGAGAAATCCTTTCGTTTCAATTCTCTGATTTGCGATGCTTCGTGGGCGCCGAAGAAGCGACATGATAGCTGCTATTGTTAGTTCGGCGCCGAAGTTAGTGGGGAATCGGAGGACATCGGCGTTGTTCCTGCATGCCATGTCGGAGCTTTCGGCGGCGAATGACTCCAGGGCTTTTCCTCAAGCTCCTCTTCCATCCTCTTCCCAGCTCTTTTCTTCACGGGAATTCCGCAAAACTCCAAGTGAAGAGATCATGTCGGTAGTAACACAAGGCTCCGACCCCCTGCATAAGGCATGCGATACGTGCAGAGCCAGGAAAACGCGATGTAGTGGGTCGAGATTCCAGTCGGTCGGAAGAGAACTTCCTCCAGGTCGGTGTCTGACTAATCTTGTTTTCACGCCAGAAATCTCGGGCAACACTGATGCCTGCGACTTCTGCCTGGTATATCAGGCCGCCATGTCTCGCTTTTCGGAATGCTGATTGTTCATTATTGTTCATTAGTCCCAGCACCTTCCCTGCTCCTTTACTCCAGTCAAGCGACCAAGAAAGCGCAAGTATGACGCGTCAGGTACAAACAGAACACTAGCTTCGGACTGCCACGGAAGCTAATCTACCACACCAGTTTTCATACCACTGTCCTCCACATACCAACAGTCCGTTCGTGACCTTCCTGGTCCGCAGTTAGGCTCCGAAAATGTGGGCTATCAGCAGCCGGGACTGTATATCGACTCTTTGCTTGCAAATCGCCAAGCCTCTCGCATACACGGAGATGCCAGTCATCCAGATCAGGTATTGTCTGGCCCTTTTGCTCATCGTGCTCCTATCTGACCATGGCCTCGCAGCTGACCACTATCTTTGGCCCAAACCCCAACATCTCTTTCTTCCCTGAGCGACGGGTTCGCGCCATCAGTCAGTGATTGGGCCACAACCGGCTCGATCAGCTACTAGATGAAATACGCGCGGTGGTTGCAACCAAGGTCAAAAATAGTTGTGCCATCCTCAGTCATATATACAACGACACCTGGGCACCGGAAAGATCCAAGTCCCGAGTCGTGACATTATCGACGGACACATTTCTGGTACCTGCGCCTTGACTGACCTCTTCTATTCTCTTGCTGGCAATAATAACCCTCTTGCAGCCTACTTTGACTCGATACATCCGATCTATCCATTTCTTTGTCCAGATACCTTTCGTGCGCGTGTAGCGTCGCAGGATTTGGTCCAATCACTAGGAACAGATAAGGTTTGGGCAGCACTATTCTACGCAATAGTGGCGATTGGGTGTCAGAACAATGAAGGAGGAAGCTTTGATACTGGTGTGGGGGAAGCCTGGTCATACTTCGAACGGTCGTTGTCATGTTTCCAGGATCTCCTCTTCGGAAGAGGCTCATTGACTGCAGTCCAAGTGTGTTGCTCCCGTTAATATCACAGTTCATGACTAATGCGGTTTCATTATGCTAGGCACTCCTCGCCATGGTATCTAGCCCGTCATCAAGCACCATAATACAAGACTGACATCTTTCACAGGCCATATTTTCATCGACGGTGTCTGCGTTCAACTTCGAACCCTTAATGCTAACAGAGGCTGCCGTTATGGCACAAGGTTTAGGGTATCATCGTTCGAATAGTGCACAAGAAGGTCCGTGCCGTCGCACGTTCTGGGTGCTCTACTATATGGAGAAGACGTCCTGCTTTGCGACTGGTAAAACTTCGGTGAGTTGAGTATGTCCGTTATCATCAAACTATTCTTCTAAATCAGGGTTCAATGGGTCTAGGTATTGGATGATGCCAACATAAGCTGTGCAATTCCCGATATGATGGAGTCCACTTTCCACGACTATGACTGGTTCTTTAACTTCGTCAAATATGCCCGTCTAGTCTCCAAGATTCACCAATCTCTCTTCACAATCAGCTCGGTTAGTCAGCCGCTGTCCAACTATAATTCTGTGGTTGAGAGCCTACGTATAGAATTGGAAGCCTGGCGCGCGACCATTCCGACCCGGTTTCGGCCAGGCGAAAAATTCAAAACTCGTTCTTTGCACGAGCCCCTGGCGGTCCAAATTGCTTTGATTACCCACTTCCTTTATTTGAACGCTCTCCTTACACTGTCGTGGACCGTCCTTCACTATGGAGCCGTCCATTTGGGGTCAACACAACAAGAAATTATGAAGCGCGACTTGATGCGGACTGCTCGAAGTGTCCTGGAGCTCACCGTGCACATCGAGGTAGCGCCTTCCACACCGGTCTGGTAAGCCTCTACTATATTTCTGAGTCATAAAACGACTACTAAGTAGTGACCTACGCGGTCTTGCTGTGCCACAGGATACTCGCTGTCTTGCCACTATCATCGCTGATGATCTTATTCGACCTGGTGGTCCACAACGCCAACCACCCGGAAACTGGTCTCAGCCTCGCTCTTCTCGACATCGCCGGCGGGCACTTTAGTAGGCTAGAATATGCCAGCAATGGTGCCCTTCCGGGATCTCTAATAGCAGTTTGCCCATCTTGCTCGTCAATACGTTTCCGAGACCCGCAAGCCCAAGTCTATGTCCAGAGACTCCAATGAGAGTAGCATTTCATTTCAGGCTCAGGACCGGGTAGGAACCTCTCCGTCCGCGCCAGAACCCACAACCAGTGTCGCCCCCGCAGATCCAACGGGGCTGGTTGCGCCGGCGGTGCTCCCGCAGGGGCCAGAACCTGTCGCTTCAGAAGCTCCCGGGGTCATGCAACCTTGGAGCCCTGCTTCTCTTGATCGGAGTGAAGCGCTTTTCCTGCCTTATATCGACGATCCAACTTACTATTTTGGGGATTTGCAGTTGCTTGGTATCGATTTAAAAGATCTGTTTGACCATTCATACAGTTACCAGGAGTGAGCGATAGTGGAGTGTAGTACCCAACTCAGCGCTACATGTACCAATTTCGCCTCTCACATCATAGGCCATTCATAGTTATCGTTGCCAGTACGTCTCACTTTCTTAGCTCATCCTCGTTCCTGGCCAAACACTACCCTGAAAGTGGATCAAAGTTCGGGGCTTCCTTGCAGTCCAAACGCAGCATCGATCCAATCGATCCAATTGTCACCCTATGGCCGACTGACAAAGAACTTCCGCAACCACAGGAATGCAAGTATAATATGCGATGCATCATGACCTTGTCGAAAAAATACACCCTGAAGGGCTGATCGTGCGAGTGGCCTAGTTTTGCCGGAAACGGAAACGCGGCCTACTAATGACATCCATCAGTCACGTGCAGTGTATCCTCTCTAGCAATATATTTGCGAGCACGTCTTGTCAACTTTCTACAATTGTCACGAACCCGCTGTAGTCGAAGAATATTCTTTATGTTTTTTTTTATGTTTTTTTTTTTTTTTTTTTTTTTTTGCGCCTGCGGGCTTCCTCTATATAGAGCCCGTACGATGTCGTACGGTCGCTCCGCTTCTCTAGCAATGGAGCAAGAACTTCGTCATAAGACCAGCCAGACAATGTCTCCGACCCCAGCATTGAAGGTCGATCGTCCGCACGGGTTCAATCTGGCCAGCAAGGGCGCTGGCGTTTGAGGAAACGTCCCATATCCCTACCGACTATGTGAGATACATACTCTAGTTCACCTTCTCCGTTGAACCGATACCATGCTACCGCGGCGGCCAGACTTATCCACTCAAGCGCGATAAACCTTCAAGGGAAGGGGGGTGTGACACGACAAAATGTATGCCTTCATATCGCCGTATCTCGTGATGGCCGCATGTGATTATCCTCCTGAGAAGCGATTGTCACAGCCTGAACCCGACATTCACTTCAATATCGATGCCAACATTACCATATTGGCCACATTCCTGGCATCCCTAGAATTAATCTGACGATGGGTCGGGAGTTGATTCGCCATTCAGTGGTGCAGTTTGTCAGTGTCTAATCGTGAGGGGGCCCGTTACTGTCCGCATCGTGCCTATGACGTTTTCGTTCGGACTGCTCGGTCGGAGAATGGATTAGCAACCGTGATGAAAACAGTCGTCTGGGACCGGGATATACCTGATGCAATCCGAAAGGTAGCTGGCAGTACATCTCCAGGGCGTGAAGCCTAGGATGGCACCTGGATCAGTCGCAAGGTGACCGCAGCTGTTGCACATCCAGGCGGTGTGGCTAGATGTGCTTGGCCATGAGATGCAGGACACTCCGGCAGGACGGAAGTACTCGGTGGTTCTTCGAGTATCTTTCTGTCACACTGTCTGAGCCCTGGGGAATGGTGGGAGTGAGTACTAGCAGCCTGAAGAGTGGAGGGAGTATCTCATTACACAGTAGATACTATCCAGCGATGGTCACAAGTTCAACCCCGCACATGCACTCCGGCTTGCCGAGAAGCGCGCGGGTCCTCCCAGATTGGCTAGTCCTGCGGGACTGGACCGTGTTACGTCCCGCGACAGCCAATGGCTCGCGTTGTTGCCGGCATGAGATCGAGACATTGGCCGCCAATCGGCCCTGCTGGGCCCCGCCTGGATATTCCCCGACCTTTCAAGGTCTCCCTTCTTCATCTGCAAGCCTCGAGCTTGTCTCTCCATCCCTCCGCCACAGTGGTACGATCGTACAACTTCATCCCCTGTACCGTCACTATGGATGCCAAATCGCTGCAACAAGCACGTGGGACGCCGCCTCCCGAAGAGCGTCGTCCCCTTCTCGGTGCCGATGGTGAGGTTGTACAGTATGAAGTGGACGACGACATAAAGGGTAGGTCCCAACAACCAGCATCACGATGGATATTGGTTTGGGCCAAGTCAATCTTTATCACGGCCATCCTCTTGATTATGTGTATACTGCTGGTCCTGTCCTTGCTCTTTCTGGGCCTAGGTATCTCTGGCCTCCCCCATGGCCCGTCCGAGAAACCATCGTCTCCACACGCTCCTATCAAGAATGTGGTGGTACTCGTTCAAGAAAATCTCTCATTTGACACCTACGCGGGAGGCCTGACATACAACTCTACAATTGACGGCCTCGTGAATAGAAAGTATTGCAACCCTTCCGATATAGAAGATCATAAATCGCACCAAGTCTGTGCCAAACCTACCGCCAAGAATGTCGCCCCCGATGATCCCGACCATTCCATCGCGGGTGGATCAATGCAGATCTACAGCACTTATCATCCGGATAACATCAGTAGTGCTTCCATGCAAGGATTTGTGACAGAACAGGTCCGCTCATACGGCATCGACGGCGACCTCTCCCGCGCGGCCGAAGTCGTCAACTACTACACCCCGGACCATGTCCCTGTCCTCAATGCTATGGCAGAGAACTTTGTACTGTTTGATGCCTGGTTTGCTGCAGTTCCGGGTCCTACTAATCCCAACCGCGCCTACTTGACGTCTGGAACTAGCTATGGGCATGGAATGAACGACATTGGCTTTTTGACCTCGGCTCTGCCTCAGGTGTCAATATTCGAACAGTTGTCCAACGCTAACATCAGCTGGATCAATTATTCCAACACGACTGGCTTCCTCCCCGATGCACTGTTCTATAAGTGGACTCTGAGGACCGGAAAGTCCGAGACACACATCAAGCCCATCGACGAGTTCTACCGCGACGCCAAGGCAGGCACCCTTCCACAGTTTACCTGGATCAATCCTGAATGCTGCAAGTACATGTCATTCCATCCTCCGTCCCCTATAAATATGGGCGAGGGATTTATCAAGAGTATCTACGAGGCGCTTCGATCCTCACCGCAGTGGAACGAGACCCTCTTCATCCTGACCTTTGACGAACACGGAGGTTTCGCGGACCACGTCTCCCCGCCTGAGAACGTGCCCCCTGGTGACCATCGTACTCATAAAGAGTGGGCTCTAGACGGAAGCAGGATTGAGTTCAAGTTCGATCGACTGGGAATACGCGTCCCCACGCTGCTGATGTCTCCCTGGGTTGGGAAGGGTGTTGTACAGAATCGCCCCATAAATCAGCCAAACGATTTCACTCATACTTCGATTTTAAAGTATCTCTCTGAGCTGTGGGATTTGCCTGTATTGACGCCGAGAGTTGCCTGGTCGCCGAGTTTCGGGGGCTTGATCACCAACAGGTATCGGGAAGATACCCCTGAGAAACTTCCTGAGCCTGCTGACTTCTAGATGATCTATAAGGGAGGTTATATGATAAATGTAATGACTACAATGGATCATAGGTTGCACACATTCTGCATATGATATTTGCTGAGGACTGGATCTGGCTCGAGAACAGTGTCAATTACTTGATTAATTATTCTATTATCGTTCATAGTTATAAAGAATGGCAAGCTATCACAATTGAACAAACAAACTGGTATCTCGGAAGCAAATGATCACTTCTCCACACGACTTACATACTGCCTGGGTGGATGAGCCTCCATCCCTTCTCCCCTGCACTGCAGCAATCACCTAACGCCTTAGAATCCAAGGAACTTCTTCCGCTTCGACTTGACCGACCGCGACCTCGATCGCTGCGTGATCGCCGAGTTTCTCGTGTTGACCCGATCGATATCGTACGGGTTCGCCTCATACTTCCGACCTTCACGCTCATCACTCGACACCGATGCCGTAGCCACCGACTCGGCGCGCTCAAGGTCCAACTCCCGATCGACCTTAGTCTCATCCACTCCATCAGCGACCGCCTCGGCCTCTTCCTTGGCAACTTCCTGGCCCTTCTCCGAGTTCAGCGACTTTTCAGCGAGTTTCCTCATGAATGCATCCGCTTCTCCAGCATACTTGCATTTGCGTCGAATAGCGGCACCATACTTGTAGAAGATGAACGGGAAAGGCAAGCAAGCGACCGACAGGAAAGCCGGAATGCACGATGCCCAATGAATACCCAGGTTCTGGTACATGTATGTCGTGAAGAGAGGGAATCCCGCGCCAAAGCAGCTTCGAATGATGGAATTGGCTGCCAATACTGAGGCAGCATAGATCGTGTACGCGTCAATCAGGTACGACATGATATTTAGGAAGACGAGGACCATGCCGAATCCGAACGGAGCAGACGCAATGATACTGACGATCCAGTGAACGTTGAGACCGTTGGTCCAGGCGAACCAGAACAACCCAATCGGAATGGTGATACTGCCGATCATGGAGGGTGGAAGACGTGCCTCGGGAGGTGCAAACCCACGGTGTTTCTCATGCACACGTTTATACCGCTTGTTGTCCCACATGTTGTATCCTACAGCTGACATCATTCCGACCATAACTCCCAAGAAGGGCAGACTGCCCACTCCTTCGTTCCAGCCGCGCAATTGTTGGTAAACGATCGGGAAGGCGTCGAAGAGCATGTACAGCGTGCCATATACGATGGCCATGTATAGCGAGAGAAGGAAGACAATGGGTTCAGCGAAGAGGAGGATCCATGGGCGCAAGAGAGCCGCTCCGAAGGCGCTGGTCACGGAGACACGGCCACGTTCGACGTCGAGTTTGCTGATGTACGTCTTGCCGGTGAGCTTGCTGAGACGGTCGGCGCGCTTGCGGAGGAGAACTGGGGCGTAGGTTTCGGGAACAAGCAGGAACTGAACAATCCAGATAAAGCCAGTGAATGCGGCCAGGAAGCCTTCAACCCATTTCCAACCTGCACTTTGGCCCAGGAAACCGCCGATGACGGGCCCAAGGGTCGGTCCGAGGAAGGGACTACCCGCAAAGACACTCATCGCCAATCCTCGCTGTTCAGCGGGAAAGACGTCTGCAATTAGTCCACCGGCGTTGGTTAGAGGACTGGATCCGAATGAGCCAGCGAAGAATCGCAGGATGATGATTGTCCATGGGTTTTTCGAGCCTGTTGCACCAGCACTGAATACGGCCAGGCCCATATACGAGACAAAGAACACAAGTTGGCGGCCGATGAGTTCACTCAGCGGTGCCCAGACAAGGGGCCCAACAGCAAACCCAAGCACGAACAGTGACACACCCAGAGTGGCTACCTCAGTACCGATGTTGAAGTGCTCGATCACTTGGTCAATACTGCCCGCATAGGCGGACGAGGCCATGGAAACGCCAAAGGTCGCGAATGCGGCAATAATGGTGTAGGCCCATTTCATGTTCTTGTTGAAGAGCATGGGGTTACGTGGGTCATTGGGAATCCATTCTACGACGAATGGGTCGGACTCGGTCCCTGAGCCGACATAGGGATAGTCGATGATCTCCTGAGTGACAACACTCTGGTCGACAATCAGACGCCAGTGAGGAATCTTAGCCATGATTTGGTTGAGATCCTCGTGAAAGACCTGGCTGGGGTTGGAGCATGATGAACTGAGACAGATCAAGGCAGGTGGAGTAGCGTAGTTATAAGAATGATTAGCTTGATGGGGCTGTAATGGCGTGTTATGAGGAATTTTCTTAGGCCTGGTACCCGATGGCGCTATGACACGATCACACTATGCAGGGCTACCCTGATTCATCTGCTGCAGGCATCCAAGGGACTGGCCGGGTGAAGAATGATTTGACCTGAGCCATGGGCAAATCCCAATGCTTGTCCAGGATCCACTGGTACGGCATGGCTCCACTCGGTGGAGGCTTCGGCTGTGAGTTCGGCAACCCGATCACCGACCGGACCGAGGCTGCGTGCGGCTCTCGTATTGTTATCTGGTCAGAATCGGTTACATTACAGCTTCAGAATACTTCTGGAACTTCTCGCGATCCTCCTGGTTGTTCGATGGGCTGATTGAGAAGAAATCAATACCAGGTTAAGGTGAAGCCTGATAACCGAACCCACGCGACGCATTCCCACCCTCGGCTTGCAGATCCCTATGCCTGTTCCAGTTGTGCTCCCGGTCGTCTGTATAACATCTGCACTAAGCAAATCCCGAAAGACGATACAGCACCGTCACGAGCACAAGCACATAATGGGGCCGGGTGTGCCTGGCGAACCATTGGTGATTTCAGATAAGCTTTGTTGTCGTTGTCGCGCCCTTTGACGTGTGACAGCGCCATCTGGGTGGACATCCGGCTCGGTCGGAATCTCGATACTTTTTTATGTTAATCTTTTTGAGCATAAGTCTTCAGTGAGCACTACTTCCTCCATATGCTGGGTCGTGTGGAAAATAATTCCGCCCGCTGGTGGGGTCTGTTGAAGCACTGGCAGCTGCCTTCTTTTACATGTAGCCGTCTGCTGCGATAACCAGAGCAAGTCTCATACGTGGTGCGATATTGGGAATGCCTCAGGGACTGCAACGCATTTGGCATTCATTGACACTAACTACAGCTTTGACTTGACTCTTACTAACCCCAGTCCCAATAATGGCATAATACTGATCATCTGGGCCACCTGAGTTTCCGTTCATCAGCACAACGGCGCTTGGCGAAGAGACACTTAACCCACCCAATGCCACTTCATTCCTAGGCTCTGGAAATATGTAAAAAGTGCGCCACGAGGTACATAGCCAGAATATGTTGATTGCCATCTCGCCGCAAACGACCCGGCAATTGGTCCCAACTCTCCGAATCCCAAGATTTCGAGCACCCACGGTGCTAAGACCGCCAGCACCCCCAAGGCAAGAAGAATTGCAAAAACTGGGTGCTCCTTGGCAAATTCCACTGCGGCTTCCTTGGCCTTCGTCAGAGCGTCGGCGGCAGGGCCGGCCATTTCCGCTCCAGCTTTAATAGCGTCGCTGAGACCATGGAGGATAGCTTGGGCGATGGACTCGCTCCACCCGTTGGTATCAACTTGTTCTTTCAATCTTTTCTGAATATCCTCGTGGGCTTCACCGGTCAGAAGGATGTTGACAATGTCAGATGCAACAGCGGAAGTGCGGGCATCGGTTTGGTGGACGTTGGGCGATGGTCCCCAGATGCATGCCACGATCGATTTGATGATATACATTTTCGGTGCGGAGGTAAGCGGTTGATGTGGGCTTTAGGTAACTGTTGATGGAATTTGAGTTTTCCGGAAGCAATGGCGGACGTGCGATCTTCTAGAAGTAGAGGAGTTGGCTCTTCGGTTGAGAGATGGAAGTTCCAAAGATGATAAAATAATGATGTCCAGTCACTGGTATATATTATGCGCTGCGAGCAGTTGCCGCAGCCAAGGCACACTCCATGAACGCCGATGGAACAGATAACATTGAGCGCGTCCAATAATTCCATCGTTGACCACAGCCTTGCAGCTTAGCTTTAGTTTCTATGCATACATGTCGAGGTTGGTTGGCCGCTCTGGTAACACCGATGTCGCTAGGCGCCGCACTCCTCTCGCCAGGCATTCATTCCACGCCAACGATTTGGCGCTGAACGATAGCGCCATGCAGTTGAGCAGCTAATAATAGCTTGGTTCAGCCACAGGTATGCCCCTCTGCTACCAACATGACCTCCCTTTATTTCTCCGATTTGCTCGGGTCTGGTGGAAATGTTGTTCCGAATAGTAGTCGGCCAGGTGCTCATGCCCTCAGGACCTGGCGTCCACGTGAGATGCCCTCCTTGCCTGTAGCATCATTGCTCTAAGCAGTGTATCGTGCATGGTCGGTACTGCGCCGCGTTAGCTCTGGCTTTTTCAAACCCATGGTTCCTGCTCTTTGCATCCATATGTAAGTCCTCACGCATAACGGTACGGCCAGATTCCCCGGACATGATCGTCAACACTAACGACGTTAGGGCGCTAATGGCTGTTGACCGTTCTGAAACATGCCCTAAATTGGGAACACTCCGATAAAGGATACACTAAGCAGTCAAATCGCACGTTCTGCTTACCACAAGGGAACCAGAATAGAGCGCTCGTTCTCACCGGTCAGCAATAATGACGGAGACCCAACCGCCACCGGTCCAATGCCAACATCATGGGTTCCTTTACCATGATGGGAAGTGCGGGGAACGAATATCAAGAAATCTTCAGCTATGCGCGGATCGACAGCTGTTGCGTGGAATACACAACCCCCTCACGAGTCTGACGCTGCCTGTTGCGCGTATTTTTTGTGGGCTCGTTATCCTATAGCCAATTGCGTGCTCGTTAAGGTGCTACATTCCAGAATGTGGGAAGTGATATCATGCCACCCTATACCAAGAGTCGCTAGCCTTATGAGCAGAAACAGGTCCAGAGCCCCCTTCTGCGAAGTCTGTATGCCGGCTACCCGTCAACATGCCCATATGAAGAAGACCTTCCAACGCCCCGAGCCTCTTGACACGGCCTGTAGATGATAAGCCTGTGGATGATCCGTGTCCATTCTGTGATAAAGATGCTCCGTGACACGTCACGCAAAGATACTCCCGCAGCATACAACCCCAGTGTGTACTACGTGCTCGGGTCATTTCCTGGCTCTTAACCACGGCTAGGCACATTAGCAGGCACGCCCCGTTGCTTGGTCGTGGTTGAGTATCCTTTCCCTTCCATCGCACTGACCCGCACCAGCTTCTTTAGTCCAAATAAGGGGCAAACGAGTGGGGAGGTGATCCGCGTGTTCTACTGATCATCTCCACAACCACAACTCGAGGTATGCATCCCTTGATTGATCCACAACCACCTGGTCTTTAAAACCAACCGATGGACTGAGACATCCATCGTGAGCGGTTGATATTCTCACAATGTGCGAATTCGGCATTGAAGAGCTTTCTGATCTCAACGTCCTTGCTGCCGAGCATGGACTAGAACTGACCCCAGACGGGTGTCACTTGCGCTGGGCTCGAACAAATCCCAAACATCCGCGGAATTGGCACCCAGTGCGCAAATCCTACGACATTGTTGTGATCTCGCTTCTGGAATTTTTCACGTGAGGTTATCTTGGGACTTCTGCGATATGTTGCTGACATCAACTGTCCAGGACATGTCTCAGTACCTCAGGAGTGAGTAGTGCTTTCCGCACATATGCACAATGTCTCACATTTGACAGGCCACAACAGCCACAGCCGCACAGGCCGAGTTCGGGACGTCAAAGACATTGACATTGTTTCTATATGTTTCAACGTGCGCTACCAACACTCTCCTATCGCCGGGCAATAGACACTAATTGCTATAGTTATCTTCTAGGACAAGGTCTGGGGGGAATTGTATTTCCCCCTTACTCGGAATCCTTCGGTCGAAAGAAGCTCTATATTTTTAGCGCATCTTTATACAGCGTATTCTGCCTGGTCATCGCGGCGGTCCCGTCAATTCCCTCCCTGGTCGTCGGCCGTTTCATTACCGGCTTCCTGTCAGCCATCCCTACCGTTGTGATTACCGGAAGTATCGAAGACATGTTCAATACGCATGATAGGATCTTTGTTATGTTAGTCTACGTCTCGATGGCATGTATGGGTGTCAGCGCCGGGCCTATTATAAGCTCGTATATTTCTGTTCGCTTTGGATGGTGGGAGACTTCTTAGCCTTTTGCCTTGCGATTGCTAACACTGGCTTAGGAGATGGGTGTTCTACGTTGGTGCTATTGTCTCCGCCTTCCTCGCCGCGCTTCTTTTATGCATCAAAGAATCTCGACCATCCCTAATTCTTATGCGGGAAGTACAAACTCTCCGTAAGCTGACCGGGAACGATACGTTCAAGGCACAAAACCCGGATTACATGCCGGACCTGCGCACCTTCCTCCATCTCGGCCTCTTGCGGCCTCTCCGTCTCTTCCTAACCGAGCCTATCGTCTTTATCGTGACAATGATATTCGGAGTCTGCGTGGCCTTGGTCTACCTCTTCACGGAAGCGCTTCCCCCGGTCTACGAGCAATTCGGCTTCAGCACGGAACAAGCATCCCTCCCGTTCCTCGCCCTCGGACTCGGTGTTATCCCCAACGCTTTGACCCGCATCGTGGACTATCGCATAATCCGAAGACGCCAGAAGAAGTGCGGAGTCCTCAAGCCAGAACACAAGCTGACGGGGATCTACATTGGAGCACCTGTACTCGCGATCGCGCTCTGGTGGTTCGCCTGGACGATCCCTCCCCAAGTGACCAATGTCAACTGGTTTGTTTCTGTGGTGGCGCTCTTCTTTATCGGATACGCACTCAATGAGCTGGAGATCGTGGTGACGGCATACATGGCAGACAGCTATCTGAGCTACGCTGCTAGCGGCTTTGCTGCTCTCTCCATCATTCGATCCTTGCTTTCGGCTGCGTTCCCACTGTTTGGGAGTAACATGTTCGACGCACTGGGTGCCAACGTGGCCGTTTCGATCCTGGCCGTGCTAGCAACGATATTCTGTATCGTGCCGCCACTTCTCAGTCGTTACGGAGAGCAGATGCGGATGCGGAGTGCGTTTGCCAAGTACAGTCTGCAAGTGTATGCGGAGAACGGGGTGGATCAAGACTTTCAGTAATTATGTGCAGAGGCATGACACTCAATGCGAGTATCTAGTTGGATTCTGCACACCGGTTACTACAGTCAGTGCCATCTGGCGCTGAGAAAGAGGCGGGAATATATACCTAAGTACTATTAATTGACACGGAAAGACTAAGACTCATGATTACGACCATTTATGGGGATACTATGCTATGCTTTGGGAGGCTGGGACACGCACAGTTAGAGTATATTTGTATCATGAAGTTGTTTTTAAAACAAATAACTTGTTAATTATGATGATTTTTGTAGTCTTGTGTTTTGTATAGTGTAGGTAGCAGTAGTGGTACTAGTTACTATTGGTACTAGTGGTAGAAGCGGTAAGTACCGCCATAACCACCTACTAATGTATTCGTCTAATGCCGAGAAAAACCTTAACTGAGCGCTTGATTGCACGCTGATCAATCATTAATTTGGAATCAACCTAAATCGTAATATCAGATCGTACTAGTAAGTAGTGTGTGTGGTACACCCTTAGTAAATAGGAATCAGAGGCCATACATCTAACGGGCTGACCCCAACCAGCAAATATATACATATAACTCCGAAGCTACTTAGTAAAATTCTCCTCAGTAAATGCAAATTCAAACCTACTATCCATGCCAAATCTCATATACCAGTACTAGTCTTATTATTTGCTTAATTACTTCCGATTATGATAAGGTTTGAGTCCATCTTCGCTGCTCAGTGTTGTCTTTGACTTTTTGCAGATGTTGCCCCGGGAAGTGGCGGATAGTGAGGGATCAGAGTGCTACTAGTATACTATATTACTATGAAGTAGTAACTACCATTACATCCACTGAAAAGACTGGTATTCCATGCGGAGGGAGATTGCAAGAATTGCTAATTATACTGAATGTAAATTGCATCTAAATATATTTTGGTAGCTGTCTATCAGCTACCGGATAACTTTATAACTATAAATATGTTACACAAATGCACGCCAAACTCCGCTATATGCGACAAAACGAAATCTCCGATTCTTCTAATATATATTCATCATCACTATATCCACGTCTATCCCATGATGCTATCCCAGATCCTCCGCACCCATCCGTCCTTGGGGTTGCTCGATTCCCAAGTGGTGTAGGGCGGACGTCCGGTGTCCAGATCCGCCTCGATGGGCCGCACAAACTTGGTACGGTACCACGCCTTGTGGCCAATGTACAGGATGACAAACAAAACGGGGCAGATGTAGGCTACCCAAAAGTCCGAAACGTTGAAGGTCGGGATCCAAGCGGTGAAACCCTGAGTGAAGATAATCAGGATGTTGAAGAACAGTCCGTACCAGGCCAACCAGGGCTGCCAGATGGCCTTGTAGGGAAGGGTGTCGCGGGAGAGACCGCGCGCCTTCATTGCCTTCATGAAGGCAATGTGACTGGCGTTGATGGACGTCCAGCAGATAAATCCGGCCACACTGGAGATGTTGACCAGCCAGTTGAAGACGGTCGTACCCGATTCCGAGACGTTCATGAAGCCCAGAAGTCCGAAGAGAGCGGTGAAAGCCACACTGACATAGGGGACACCACGGCGAGTGACCCATCCGAAGATCGAGGGCGCGAAACCCTCCTGGGCCAGACCAAGCAGAACACGACTGCCACTGTAAACGTTGGAGTTGGCGGCGGACAAGACGACAGTGAGAAGAACAGCGTTGATCAAGCTAGGAAGGACCTTGACACCGGCCAAGTTGGCGGCAATGACCATGGGGGAGGCAGAAGCGTTTTCAGTTCCGCTGGCCAGGTCGGGGTTGGTGTAGGGCACGAGCAAGCCGATGAAGAAGATGGTCAGGACAAAGAAGACCAGGATACGGATGAAAGTCTTGCGGATGGCCGAGGGGACAGTCTTCTGGGGGTTCTCAGTCTCACCGGCGGCGACACCCACCAGCTCAGTACCCTGGTAGGAGAAACCAGCTTGGATGAGCACAGCCCAGAAACCGACAAACTTGCCAACGGACTCATTGGAGGTGATCAGGTAGGGAGCGAAAGCACCCGGGTCGTGCCAGTACTTGAATCCAATGTAGCCCTGCTTGCCGACACCAGCATCAATGCAGATGGCGAAGATCATAAAGCCCAGAACGGTCAAGACCTTGGTGATAGAGAACCAGAACTCCAGCTCGCCGTAGAAACCGACGGGAAGGAAGTTGATGGCGGAGATGACGACCCAGAAGACACCGATGAAGATAGCAATAGACAGCTGATCATTCCAGTACTGAATGATCATACCCGACGCGGTCAACTCGACGGCGTATGTGGAGGCCCAGTTAAACCAGTAGATCCAACCCATGGCGAAACCCAAGCTGGGGTCGACGAGACGAGCGGCGTAGGAGGTGAAGGCACCGGGGATGGGGATATAGGTAGCCATCTCTCCCAACGAGCACATGACAGAATAGACGATGGAACCGACGAAGGCGTAGGCGATAAGGGAACCTGCCGGGCCAGCCTCCGCAAGGGCTGTTCCACTGCTGATGAAGAGACCTGTACCAATAGTACCACCTTCGGGGAGGTTAGTGAGTGTTCACAGGATTGTCAATTGTCGGACCCAGGTGTTTCCCACTCACCAATGGCGATCATCTGCAGGTGACGGTTCTTCAAGTTGCGCTTCAGCTTAGTTTCTTCCTCCTCATTGTCGCTTTCGACATCCTTGGTGAGGCCATTGCGCCGGCGCTCGCGCAAGCCGGAGGGGGTGAGGGAGCGATCGGAAGGGGATTGGGAGCCATTCTCCTCGGTGATGGCACTGTCGATGGGCAGCTTCCCTTGGGAAGCGGCCTTGTTGTCCTCCATAACCGACAGGTGTTCAGGTGAGGTGGGGAAAGGTATGAGAGGAGATCAGGAAGGCGAGAAGAGAGCGCGAGGCAGCGGAGATGACAGCCTCAGCGCACGACAGCTGGGGAGGGAGTCGATGTGTCAGTCAACGTCAATGATGACCGGATTGAGTTTTGGGGAAGAGGAAAAACAGAAACAGAGACAGACATGACAAACCTTTTTCCATGTGGCCATCTTTGGGGGGGGGGCGGCAAGATTTTCTCGTCTGGTTGTCTGGACCGAGTTTTTCCCAGATCGGGGGAGTTCGTTCCATAACGTCAGTCGCCGCGGACGAAAACTCTCCACTGTTTTGCCATGGCGTTACCTAATCACGGGCCAATCACGGGGGTGTCACGGGTTGCAAGCGGCCAGTAAGTGGATTCTAGCGGCCTTCTAGCCGGCGGGGGTACACTGGAGTGGGTTAGCCCGGTTAGCAACGGACAGATACAATCTAGTACACTTTGGGGGTATATTTATCATTAGACATTAAACACACCACATATTACAATAAACACAGCTCAATCTCTGGAGAACATTCTGACTGTAGCAGTTTGAGTACTCAAAGGAGAGAAGATGATGAGAGGCAAAAGTGCAGACGGAAAAAGAAAGCGGAGAAAACTGAAGAGAAAAATCAACTCCCGGCACTAGACTGTTTCGGGCACGGCAACCGCCTTCCCGTCTGGGACGCGGATCACGTGCTTAGTGATCACTGACTCGAATATTCCTCAATTCTCCCTTCATCCTCGATCCTTGACTCCATACTGATCATGTTTCACCTCATACACAGTCGTCACTTGAATCCCATCGATGCCTCGCCCGACCTCCTCTCCCACTCGGTCTGACCCTCCCCGAACATCACTGACAAACTGAGATTGGCTATCTTCCAAGATAGACTCGGGTCCGGCTGGTCTCCGGTTCGCTGTTCCCGTCCCCGCTAACGGTCCCAACTTGTACCGCCCGGTTCCACTGGCCCCAGTCGATACTTCTCGCGATGAGGATGACCTCCGAAGCAGCGGCCAGATGCATGGAATGTTGACCGTGATGATGGCAATAACCTATACGGTGGTCAGAACAATAGTTGGAGTAACCTGGGAGGGAACATACGCTCTCGCGCGTTGCCCAAAGGTTGCTGGTATTAACGGATTCAATGTGCCATAGCGAAAGGACGCAGCGGAACAATGCGGCAATTATCACAAACACGCCTCCGAAAAGCAGCAGCCCGATCACCAGCTTCCTAGTAATGTGAGTGACTTGGGCTCTCACAACTGTGTCTGAGGTGGACATACCGGCGCCAAGGGAGTTGCACTTGGATCAGTAACGGCAGAGGGATTGAGAGCAATACGATGTCCGTCCTAGATGACGACACCATCCTGCGTCAGCAGCGGTCGAGTTGCACCGTGTATTGCGACTCACATGATGTTAGTCACCAGAATGGCAATGTAATTCGCCGAGCCTTGCGTACACGCCTCTAAGACCCGTTAGCCGACCCCAAGACCAGTCGCACTATTAACTTACTGCCAGGATTTGGGTAAATCTGCCACAACTGGCTGACGGGGTTACAGTGTAGGTGGATAGTCAATGTGGCGGCGACGTAGGTGCACAAACACAAGCCTGCCGCGACCTTAACGAACCTTTGCTGAACAAGGCCAATCCTACCCAGATTCAGTGCGGTGCAATGACTTGATATATATGAACGGGTCAACGTACGTCAGACGCTTATAGAAAAACAGCATGCAAGCCTTCAACACCCAAATCAGAGTGACGTAGGCAAACCAGCTGACAAGAAGGCATTTTGATCCAAACTGTCGCTCATGTATCTCCCACTCTTCCATGGATGCTCTCTGCTCGTCGCTGAGTCCGGCATTAGCGCCGAAGCGGACTATAAAGCAAAAACCTGTCAGTTGGCGGCCACTCTTCGGGGAGAGACGAGCTTACACACGAACTTGAACATGAAGACCTCCGTCTACATGATACGGTATGTCAACCTTTACACCCTCGTCCTCGCTAGCGAATTATATACTTACTGCCCAAAGAACAAGAGCCACGATACTGAGGTAATCATCCCCTTGCCATTTCCTGAAGCCAACTGCTCTAGTTCGAGCGTAGAGTCGGAGCAGGATGACAAACATGCCAATGGCCATCTCCACCCATTCTTCGATTTCGAAAGGGAGTCTGCTCTCCTGGGTGGAGGAGCCATTTTCGATGTAGATCATGGCGTCAAAGCAATGACACTGCTTCGGTATAGAACGGAATATAATTTGGCATACACGAGGTGTCAGGATCGCTGTGGTGATAGTATCAGTAAGATGCGTGATAGGAGTCATGTTGTGGTGATACTGGTCCTGCTAAAGGCTCGGGTTGCTTCACATGATGGGCAACAAGTGAAGACTCATGGCATTCCAAATCGTGGCAATGCCCAGCTTCACTATACAATACGGAAGCTGACGACGACTCATCTGAGTCCTGGAATACATGCACTTTTCACATATTGTCACTTCAAGACACTGTGATGCGGTGCAATTCTGCAGACACTTTACCCATTTTACCTAACCAACCGGTCTACAATGGACCTACAATGTGTTTGCGACTCAACCACTATGCATGCCCTGATCCCAGCCCCTTCTTTGCAAGCAAAATGCATGAAGCAGGTCACCAGTGTAACTGGCTGTAGCTTATTCAAGCTTGAATGGCCATTCCGCTATATATTGAAGAACTTAGCGGTAAGTCATCAAGAACAAGAACTTGATTGTGAATCTTGATCCAAGACATTGAATGCCACATTCCATCATCATGCAACTCAAACTTCTAAACCAAGCAAGGTTGGGTTGTGTAGCAGCACCCTTGCACCATTGGCTGCTGGCTGGTGAGACATTGCATCGGAACTCAAAGTTCGGTTCCCCCGCAAGATCCAGTTCGCTTAGATGTTGTTGGCTTAGTTTGCTACCCGGGCAACCCGATCAGCCGGACCAGGGGTCAATTGTTCCCAAGATTGAGTCTATCGATAATCTTTCTCCTGAAGTATGCTGTTGTCCTACTGTTGTCCTACGACTATGTAGTCTAGAATATACCCCGTCTTCCCCTGCAAACCCCACCATTTTGTAGTAACTGGATATAGCCAATGTCATTATTTATTACTCTTACTACTCATACATCGCAATCCACTCAAATCATCTGCAAGTGAATGATTGCAGTATTCCTGCATCCACTACATCCATCCATACATCCAGAACCAATGCAAATCAACTCGCCACTTATGATCGGCGGGGCCCCAAATGATCTTAAAATAGCTCCCCCCTCTAGATACACCTGCACTTAAATATCCTGCTCCCTCCCTCCCCCTCAATCTTCAACATATTCCCAAATACAAAGTACTATATCATCACCTAGAGTCAACTCCACAATTCTATTCTCAATAAACCCACAAAAATGAAGCTCCTCTCCCTCGCCACCACCCTCACCTCCCTCATCGCAACCGTCTCCGCCTCCTTACCATCCACATACACCCTCGTCGCAGACGGAGGCTGGACTGTTGTTACTGATGGAAGTATGCATACCACCAGCCCAATCACCCACATTACTACACAAATCACATACTCAATATCTATTTGTAATAGCACACTTATACATCGGAACCGGCGACATCAAACACTACCCCATTCTCATCCGTACGCCTCTCCCATCCCCCATCCCCCATCCCCTTCCCCCCAAGCACACACTAACCCCACCCCCATCTATAATACAGTAAAAGGCGGCTCCAACAACACCATGATCACCGGCCACAAGCAATACGACACCACCACAGGCATTCAACACCTCTACGTCATCGAGGACGAAACAGCACCAATTGCCCTGACGGAACCTAATGGAGCTGCTCCCGCCGGGGCAAGCGTGACTGGGTTCGATGTGGACGAGGGGAATTATCTGCTTCTTGATGGGGTGGAAGCGTGGGGTGTGGAGCCGAGTGAGGGGCAGATTAGGAGGATTTATTGGCTTGGTGGGGAGGATGCTCGTGAGGATTATAAGGGGATTGGGTTGTGGATTAAGGAGTGTAGGGGGTGTTGAGATTATTGATCTGGTGTGGGATGGATGGTAATGTATGTATGTTTGTAATTTAAGATTTAGATCAAATCAATGGCCATGACTCGTGAACATCGTTTAGTAGACGTAAACAAAATCCTCGTTCTTCCCATCCGTTAAGTCCAATAGTCCATTTGCCCCTACATGCGCTTGTCCCTCCTCGCCGTTTGCTTCCAGCGTCTGCTCGATCGCCATCATTCGATCGCTTTGCATCGACACATCCACTACCTTGGCTGGCTTGCCGTTCCGCACGCGCCGCTTCTCTTGCATCTTGTTCAGTACCCATAGATCCACCCACTGGAGGAGGAACACTGCGATCAATGCGACGAAGATCCCCACGCATGCCCGTAACCCGGGCTTGTATGCTGGTGCGTCTTTCTCGTTGAATAGCAGAGGACCGATGATGTTCCCTGCCGATACGGCAGCGTTGTATAATGACATGTTGGCGGATTTCTTCGTCGTGCCGGCTGTGTTTGCGACGATCCAGCTGACGATTAGCGGGTTCCCGCCGAATAAGAAGGCAATGAGGTAGTATCCTGCCATGAGGGCGCCGTTGGTGGAGCTGTTCCGCGGCACGGCATATAGGATGGCTAGGCCCACGACGACGGGGAGCATTAGCGCCGCCAGGATGATGCCCTTTAGACGCGCCTTTTGCGCCAGATAACTGGCCACCAAGATGACAATTACTTGTACGGCGCCGAAGGGCATGTTCAGCAGCGTGGTGGTGTATGTGTCGTAGCCAAGGCCTTGGAGGATTAACGGCCCGAAGACGTTCGATACGGAGGCACCGATGTTTAGAAGGAGGGCCATGCTGATCCAGAGGTAGGTTTTGGGTTCGAGGACAGCTTCATAGACGTGGCCGAGCTTGAATTCGCGTGATCCCGTGCCCGTCTGGTTTGCTCGCAGACGTTCCATCGCTTGGAGCTTCTCATCTTCGGTGAGGAAGCGCGCCGACGGGATGTCCTTGTCGAGGCGCCAGTAGACGAATGGGCTGGAGATGACGGTGATCAGACCGACAACGAGAAAGATGCTAGTGAGGTTAGTTTGCGGATAGTTATCTAGTGGGTGGAAGGAGGCTCACATTTGCCACTCTTTCATTACTCCCGACTTGATGTGTCCGAGGCCGAACGATAGCACCGCTGCGATGATGGTCGCCACGCCGTTCGTGCCATACCATGCTGCTACGCGGATTGGTTGCTCAGCACGACGATACCACTGGCTGGTGAGGAGACTAAATAGTGGGAGGCAGCCAGCCTCGAACAGGCCGAGGAAGAAGCGGGTGGCCATTAGCCCGCCAAAGTTGCTGCATGCTGCCATGCAGGTCTGCGCGATGCCCCATCCAAGCACTAATGTAGGCATCAGGATGCGAGGCGGGACGGTCACGATCAGCCAGGAGGAGAAGGGCTGCCATGCGAGCTGCGCGATCGGGGCGATTGAACCGACCAGCGAGTACTGGTTCCCGGTGAGATGAGTGTCCTCTTCCAGGCCATATGTCGCACCAAAGCCTAACACTGACTTGTCAAGAATCTGCAGGAAGTACACCCAGATCAATATCACTAGGATCGTTCGATCTGTTTTGCGAGCGATCCGCTTGCTATCCTCCTCTGTCACCAGGACTAGAGTATGCGGAAGCCCATCGATAGTAGTTGGTTTGGCCACGTCCACACCTTCATCGTGAATCACGGCTGGCTTGTCAGGCTCCATTTCAGAAAGATGTTTGATTGTTGGCTAGAAAGTGTTCAAAGCAGGTTGAGCAAGGCAGCTCTTCGATATTATAACCCGTTGTCAACCGACACCCCCACGCTTGCCGCTCGGCCAACCCGCATGTGTTTTAAGCTTCAAGCTCGAGACTAACGGGGCGACACTAAAACACGGGGTAGCGGCCATCCCCCGCAATTGATCCCCGCAAAGTGACCCCCACGTTTGATGGGGATGGCACATGCCGAGGACTGCATTCAATCCTGGGCCGGGGAGGACAACATGCCATCACCGCAAAGCCGTGCCGGTCTAAGTTTAGAGGTTAACCATGACTGGCGGTCATCTGTCCATGGCGTAACTCAAAAGTGAGGCGACGCGCCGGCTGCGAGTGTAACTGGCCAGTCAATACCCGATCCCTGCACGCAAATTAGCCGGATTGCCTTGATGTGTTGACATCATCCCGCTATCGCGCCGTGGAAGTCGTCTATCGGATACGAATCGGGTTGAACTGCTCCCAGAAGCTGAGGAGCCAAGCGCGGCCAGCTCAGCTTTGCCTACAGCTCTCGTGGGGGTCAGATAAGACCAGATACTAAGCTAGGAGAGTCGCCACGCATGAGATACTGCTCATGACGTCGCAGCATTTCCCGTATCTCATACAAGCCCCCTTCTCCAACTGCGTTGATAAGGTTCTCATTGGCATACTCTAGTCGATATTCTGTAGCTTCCTGTCCACCTATTCGCCATTCAGGCAGCTTGCTGGAACGTCGGATGCCATGCACCACCGCTTCCACCGTCCGTGCGTCCCAAACCCCATCGCGGTGTGGCAGCCTCTTGTGTCGCAGTAGTGAAAGTGCAGTGTCTACTATACTGGGATGATTGCTTTTCATACAGATATAGTAAAGCGCTGCGACGAGCTGGGTACTCAATGTGAACGATCTCTGCGCAGTGGTGCCCTGTGTGGAGGAATAACCCGACATACTTTCCAAAATGGCCGATATATCTTGTAAGCATTTCCGCAGTGAGTCACTGTTCGTAAACTGCAGGGACGGAACATCCTCGGCCACGATAGTGCGGAACATCCGAGCTTGCAGTCGGAGGAGCAGACTATTTGCCGTGCTCGGGCTAGAAAGGTGGGTCGAACACGCGCTCACAGTCTTTATATATCTCGTCAATTGGTCATATAAGTGATGTCGCTCTACAAGGATGTCCGCTGGTAGAAGCTGCAGGCCTTTCTTCTTATATGGGTAGGAAGACGCAAGATGGTGCAACATCCAATTTTGCAACTTGGTGAGTGCCATTTGTGCATCCGCCATGGTGAAACTGTCTAGGATGAGCGGGACGAGCCCGGACTGTTCTAATGGCGAGATCAGAGACAATATGGGTCGACGGTTTGCATTGTATGTGCTTGCTTGAATGTCCAGGCTGGCGAACAAGACTTTTAAACGTGGAATAAGGACATCTGTGGCGTTCTGCACGGGCGCTGTAGCCAGACTTCGTTCCAGCAGGATCAGCCCCTGATCGAGGTGTCGAATCGCCTGTACAGCATTGCCTAGAAGAGCCTCAAAGGTGTAAAACACCACGCTGCAGATCAAAGCAACTTCAATTGATGCGTCCGGCGAGCGAAGATGCATCCTTAGCTGCTTGTGGGATTTGGCGATTAGTTGCAGATGCTGCAGCGATGGACGGTCGGACTCTGGCCTGGCATCATCTTTGAACTTATAATCCCAATATATAGCACTCAGTGTGACAAGTGCGTTGCGTATCACAGGTTGATAGTGACATCTTTGCAACACGAGTCGACTCCAGAAGTCCGCGTCGGAGAAACTCGAAAGGCCCGAAGCGGCCTCGACACAGTAGAAATGGAGGAGCTGGCGATCCAATCTACTGCCTGGAACTTTGAACGGAATATTGTATGCTTTAATTGTATCCACAACCTTGGTGGATTCAAGCGATGTGTATCCCCCACATGTGCGATTTGATCGCACGCACCGTATACAACAGGGTTTGGTTTCATCGCATTTGACGCGACGAGTCCTGATGAATTAGACACATGTCTCATGCAGATTCTGTCTACTTACTTGCAGGTAATACATCCCGTGCGGGACTTTGGGGCGCTTTTCCTGGTCGCTTTCATGGTGGTCGAGGATTCGTGTTCTGTTCAGGCTTGATGGAGTGCGAGATGGCATCCCGATCTGAGTCAGCACTAACCAGACTGGGAAGGTGAAATTGCTGCCTGCAGGCATCATATCATTTCATTCACAGCTAGCCTCTTCACTTGTTTTCATATACTATAAGATTAATTTGATATTCACATCCTTCATTTGGTTCGGAATTCCAGTGGTGTGCAAGTTATTCACTGTCCCCAAATATGGAAGTGCATCATATAACGATACCCTATCCCGTTTGCACCTTCCATCATGGCAAACTGACAGATCCTCCCCGTCGAGAAAGAATCACTTGAATATCACTTCAAAAAGAAGGTCGTTCACAACACAGCATCGATTGATTCATTCTTCCTTGTACTTACGGCACGACTGTCAACATGCCTCCTTTCCCATTATTATTCCATTCTCCTAACAATTGGACATCGAACCAACTTGAGGCTTTGAGGCTAGTACGGCATTTTAACGCCTCTCTCGACGAAATACTTGGAGATTATGATCTTCCCAAGGATGGAGATGAAGGTTGGACTTGTACACTTTCGTTCATAGTTGTCTTGGAGATGCTCACATATGTCAGAATTCGAATCGCTCGCCATGGAAATTGCCGAACCGACAGAAAACGAGTTAAAGAATCTTTGGCGAACAGCAACCCGTGCCCGATACAGGCGCAACATTTTCCTGCCGGTTTTTCGACCTCTATGCGAGATGCTCAATTCCGATGTTTTCTTCGACGCGTCCAAGCAAGCCGTATTTAGCTTCATGGAGATCATCTTGCGCCGCGTGCACCTGGACAAACCTCTGTAAGTAACTGGTTACTCTCGCCTCCACCTGGTGAAACTAAGATGATCAAGGCAATCTTCACGTATCCATACCATGAGCTTTGAGGTCACAGGTATGCGAGGCGAAGTCGAGTGTGAAGGGGTGCTACTCGATTGTTCTATACCACATTCTCCATTGGTAGTATTTTCGGTCAGTCTCGCTCCGTCCTAAGCGTGCGACATGCACTGACACGTCTTGACAGGTTGCCAAGGATGGTGACTACAACTTTAAAGGCCAAGTAGCACAGTTGTTACTGCAAAAGGTGGTGGCATACCAAAGGAACCTGTCTCGTAGAGCCTTTGTTATCTTTATGGATAGCACAAATCTTCAGCTTACTATGGCAGACCCACCCCGCGAATACTTAGACGCTCTCTTGCATGGAGAGCGCCCAGACAAGCGCCTCCATCTATATCACTCGGAGTTTTACAATCTTTGCAATCGCCGTCGACGGAAGGAGGCATTGAGGGTTATGCTTGGTCTTGTCAGGCTACTTGATGCAGATGGACTGACAAGAAGGTTGCCTTGAGGTTTTTCTTCCTTAGTTTCGATGCCGAAGGTAATACTTGCTATTCTAGTCTGAATTAGTGTGTTTAGGAATTCACCTCTTGCTTGATCATATAATCCACACGTTCTGGCGTATTTCCCTGACAGGAGACTAACCCGACCGCTATCAGCTACCTATGCCCACCCAGTGGCGGACATTCAAGTAGTTTTTTGGGGAATATTATGTGGAGAAGTGCAAAGTACAAATGCATTCAACTCTCTTTGGTATGCGGTAAAGTCGGCAATGATTGTCCGGGCATCATGCGCCAATTTTGCCCAATGACGCTAAGCCCTGCCATCGACAGCACTCTGACTCGTATGGTAAGGTCCTTCTGATGTGACATAATATGGTCGATGGACTAAATAAATACGTTTCCCTGACCCCGCAACCATGGCTTTCTTCCAAACTTTCTGGTCTCCTTCAGTCTTACCAAGCGTTCCCCTGAGTAAGATTTCCAGTCTCTCTTTCAACCAAACTTTTATGTGTACCATGTGTCCCAAATCTAATTACTCAACCCCAAAATGGTGGAAAGAGGCGGTGGTGTATCAAGTGTATCCCGCAAGCTTCAACTGTGGTAAACCTACAAGCAAAACCAATGGATGGGGTGACGTGGCCGGTTTTATTGAAAAGATTTCTTATTTGAAGAGCTTGGGTGTTGATATTGTATGGCTTAGTCCGAGTGAGTTGAATCAGTTCGGTCTTAAGCGCAGCTATAATATGAAACAAATGCCTGATATCTTCTCATACAGTCTATACGTCCCCACAAGTCGACATGGGCTACGATATCGCAGACTACAAATCCATCGATCCGCGGTATGGTACCTTATCGGACGTTGACTTATTGATAAAAGCGTTGAGGGATCATGATATGAAACTCATGATGGATCTTGTGGTCAATCATACGTCCGATCAGCACTCTTGGTTTGTCGAGTCTGCGAGCTCCAAATATTCCCCTAAGCGTGATTGGTATATTTGGAGGCCGGCGAAGGGATTTGACGCTGAAGGAAAACCAGTTCCTCCAAACAACTGGGCGCAGATTCTGGGCGATGTACACAGTGCTTGGACTTGGCATGAGGAAACTCAGGAGTTCTATTTGACTTTGCACACGTCGGCGCAAGTCGAGCTCAATTGGGAGAATCCAGAAGTTGTTGCAGCGGTGTATGATGTGAGTTGGAACCTCGGGCGCTCGAGTTGTCTGGATGGATGGTGTTGCTGATCGGTAATAACTACAGGTTATGGAGTTTTGGCTGCGTCGTGGGGTTTGCGGGTTCCGCATGGATGTCATCAACCTCATTTCAAAGGACCAGTCTTTCCCAGATGCCCCTATCATTGATCCAGCCTCTAAATACCAGCCTGGCGAGCAGTTCTACACAAACGGGCCAAGATTCCACGAATTTATGCACGGCATCTACGACAATGTATTATCCAAGTACGACACCATCACTGTGGGAGAAACGCCTTACGTCACCGACATCGAGGAAATCATCAAGACGGTTGGCTCCACAGCAAAAGAGCTTAATATGGCGTTCAAATTCGATCACATGGAAATTGAAGATATAAAAACCAAGGGAGATTCCAAGTGGAGCTTGCGCGACTGGAAGTTGACCGAGTTGAAAGGCATTTTGTCCGGATGGCAGAAACGAATGAAAGAGTGGGACGGCTGGAACGCCATCTTCCTGGAATGCCACGATCAGGCGCGGTCAGTGTCCCGCTACACCAATGACTCGGATGAGTTTAGAGAGCGTGGAGCCAAGCTACTAGCGCTTCTGGAGACAACGCTAGGTGGGACCATATTCCTTTATCAGGGCCAGGAGATTGGTATGCGCAATTTTCCCCTCGAGTGGGATCCAGACACCGAGTACAAGGATGTTGAGTCGGTCAACTTCTGGAACAAATCCAAAGAGCTCCACCCTGTTGGGACCGAAGGCCTGGCTAAGGCTAGGACGCTCTTGCAGAAAAAGGCGAGAGACCACGCTCGCACCCCGATGCAATGGAGTGCTGCCCCGCATGCAGGCTTCACAGTCCCTGATGCAACACCCTGGATGAGAGTAAATGATGATTATGAGACTGTTAATGTGGAGACACAGATGTCTTTTCCCCGGCAGAGCAAAGGTGAACTATCCGTTTGGCAGTACTGGCAGCAGGCGATACAGCATCGAAAGCTATACAAGGATGCGTTCGTCTACGGTGGCTTTGAAGATCTGGACTATCATAACGAAAAGGTCTTCGCGTACTTGAGGACTAGTGCAGATGGGAAAGACAGCTGGCTTGTTGCCATGAACTGGACAACGTCCGAAGTCGAATGGACGGTTCCTTCCGACATCCACGTCACACGCTGGGTCTCATCAACGCTCCAGACTGCCCCGCCTGTGGCAAGCAAGACAGCGATCACGCTACGCGCCTTTGAAGGGGTTCTTGGGTGTTGTAATTAGCATGTTGCATGGTATCACTGCTAAAGTGTTACGTTGTGTCGAGATTTCCTGTTGTGTTAATGGTCCATCCACTTTGGCCGGCCCACAAATTACAGTCTCACGCTAGTCCTCTTTGGCAAATTAATAGCCGCGCTCCAGGTATAGGGCAAAGGATCAACGCCTGACGATCAGTTATTCTTATCTTGCTACAAGGCCATCAGTGGGTACAATAACAATAAGAGGAAAACTGTAATCATTGCCTGGAAGTCCAGCTTATGTACATGAATTGACTCAACGACGGTAACACCAAGCAATGCCATCCTTCTTGTCCGAACCAGGCAAATTGTTAATCCTCATTTATTTGAGGACACACTCTATAATCACCTGTTCAGCTCTAGTCTTATCAGTAATATATCAAGCTAATTACCCTTCGGGTACATCAATATCTTGGCATACTGCATCAAACATCTACAGCTGAGACAACACATCATATCAACGCCACAGCCCCTCATCGCCAGCCCTATAAGTCACACAACGACCAGGCTTAGATCCTATTGACTAACTCCTGTCCATATGCACCATCAGAACCATCTATCCCACTGTCATTTTACACATTAAGCGACCACTACGATGGAACCTTCAACAGAAAAGAACCTTAGTCTAATCGCAACCGCCAAATCCCTAGCGAACACGCCTTGGTGCGAGCAATATGAACGTATGATATCAGGGATGCTGTAAGCCTCGAGCAACAATACCTGCAAACACCGTGCCCCAGGATCTAATTCACATATTAGATACGACCCCCTCGCCCCAGAACTCATGCAAAGCCGTTACCGAGCTCGCAAGCTAATGTCAAAATACAATGCGCCCATTCCTGAAGACATATCATTCGAAGATCTTACACAGCAGCGCGAGAATCTGCTAAAGCAGCTACTGGGGTCCGTTGGCAAAGGTGCCTTTATTGAGCCCCCGCTGATGGTCGATTACGGGTGCAATATCAAAATTGGAGACGGCTTTTATGCTAATTTCAAGTATGCTGACTTCAATTCATTCCTTCTCTATGTACTTAAGTAACGAATTCATAGTACCACCATCCTCGACTGCTCCCTAATTATCATAGGTGACCGTGTGGCCTTCGGCCCTAATGTGAGCATTCTGGCTGCCACGCATGAGACCAGTGTTGAGTCCCGGAGGAATGGGGTTGAATTTGCGAAAGAGGTGGTTATCGGTGACGACTGCTGGATTGGAGCCGGAGTTTCTATTTTGGCGGGCGTTCATATTGGTAAAGGTTGTACGATTGGGACTGGGGCTGTTGTCACGAAACATGTTCCTCCTTTTAGTGTTGCTGTGGGATCCCCGGCTCGGGTTGTTAAGCAGGTGGAGCCTGTGGAATAGAAGAATGTAGGATTGTGTTTCTTGGTAGTATCTATCTAGCCGAATTTATGTAAGGATTATCTGAGTGATCGGCAAATATTTGTTTCGACTCCCTTTCCATTTCGGAAAGTTATCTTTCAGGGGGTGTTAGTGATGGTTATATTGAGGCTGGTGATCAACGAAGTACCTGTTCGTTGAGGTATATGGACTAGTAATAAATACAACACAAGCGATGGCGATAAGAGAGTCAGAAAGAATATAACAAATGTCGCATACATCGATGAAACGAAAAGAAGAGATAAAAAGCCGTAAACACGGATTGGTAGATGATGAAGACTATCTCAAGGTCACATTCGCGCAAATGCGCCAATGTTATGGTCCCAGGTGACTTGACCTCCTAACACGCGTATTGGCATTGTTCTCAAACCTTAGTATGCCACAAGGGTGGCAAACCAATCCTCAAAAAGCTTGACCTTCTTGCTCCAGGCAATCGGAATCTGACCCCACCCATCGCCGACATGCTGCACCAGCTTGGAGGTGTTTACTGCAGGCCACTCGGTAGCACCTTCGGCCTGAGTGTTGGGGTTTCTGGTCTTGATAAAGCTGGCCCAGTAGTGGTTCATATTCTTGGCGATGGCGTAATCCTCGGCAGTCCAGGGTTTGTCGGTGGCATAAAGATTGTTCGATACATAGTTGATTTCCGACCCGTGATAAGCGCCAGAGCTCTGGCCAGGGGGAGCGTGGTCTCAGAAGTAGTTCCAAACCGGGCTGCTCTTCTTGGTGTACCACATCTGGGTCCAGAGCCAGGTGCCCACCTTGGAGCGGTCGGTGAACATAGAGTTGTATGCGCCTGAAGCGGTCGTCGAGTCATTGGCCAGATAGAGATCAAAGAACCGCTCAACCCACTCCCCACTGTAGGTTTCGTTGAGATCCTCAAAGTACTCCGCGAGTGAGATGTCGAGGCCGTAGGTAGCGCCATTCTCGTCCTAGTTGTTACCGGTGATGACGGGGACGTTGTGAGCAAGGCCCTTCTTCAGGATGTTGAGGTAGGTATCCGGCATGGCGTAATAGTCAAGGACTGCCTCGAACATGATGGTATCTTCGCGAGTGGACCCAGTCGCTCCGTCAATCAATGCCTCCATGCTGAGGTTGCGGGCTTCAGCGATACTGGACACTCCCAGATTTGAGAGGTAGGTATTGCCATCATCCAGCGCATCATCCAGCGTGGTATAAGCTTCGGCAAGGCTAGTGCAAAGGGGGTCATGGGGGTCACGGACACCACTATCAATGATGGCACCAACAATCAGCCCCTTGGTCAAGTTGCTGTAGAATATATGCTGGGTGGCCGCAGAGCCTGCCGATTGACCTTGGACGGTAATCTGGTTCGGATCACCACCAAAGGCCTCAATATTGGCATGAATCCATTTCAAAGCAGCGAACTGATCTAGCATTCCCCAATTACCTGAGCTGTTGGACCCAGTCACCTTCTCAAATTCTTCCGAGAGCTCGGAGTGGGCAAGCCATCCAAAAGGCCCAGTCCGATAGTTGTAATTGACAAAGACAATCCCCTTGTCAGCCATACCACCGCCGTCGAAGAGAGGATCTGCCGCAGTTGACTCCGCGGGATAACTCCACATGACCACCGGAAGCTTGGCGTCGGTAGAGGTGGCCGGACTCCAAATGTTCAAATTGAGACAATCCTCGTTAATGGTGTAACTGTTGTCTCCGGTCGTAGCGGAGGGGCAGACAGGGCCCCAATTGCGCGCGTCAAGCGTTCCGTTCCATGGACTTGCGGGCTGCGGTGCTTTCCAACGATTAGTACCTCCGGTGGTTGCAGCAAACGGGATGCCCTTCCACACAGTGATCTCTTTCCAGTGCGTCAGGTTGCCGGTATTACTGCTGTTGAAAGCCGGATAACCCTGGACCGAGCCATAATTGGTCTCAATCTTGGTTTCGTAAAGCACAGCGGAAGAAGCGGATGCCAGGCCCAAAAGCGTGGGGAGAGTATTGCGGAGCATTGTGTAGAGACCGCAATGAGGCGGTACTGACAAAGTGAATTGGAAGAAAGTTATGCTGTGTAATTCGAAGAATAAACCGGCCGCCACTTGGCTCTTATAGTCCTTTCGACTGACCCTCTCGGCCGTCGGCTTGCTCTGAGTTCTGAGCCATTGAAGCTTTCTTCACGGAGCTATCTCCGTGCAGCTCGTGCTGACGTATACACTCTACCACGGGAATAAGATTGAACCGGACTATCAGTATCAAGGCTGAGAAGAATATTCAGACCTTGGGTGAGACGAACGATCCCGCCCCGCTGCCCCGTATCTGCTGCAGGTACGGAGATTGACCTTGGACTAGGGCAGAGTACGGAGATGTATGGAAAGGCGGGAGCTTACGCGGCGCTAGTCACTGTGAATAAATGCGTGAAAGGCATTAGTGTTATCAGTGGGCCTCTGAACCTTCCAGCCCACTAGCTTGGCAAGATATTCTATTTCTTTGCGGTTTCTCAATCACTGCAAAACATTACTTTGCAAGCAAGCGGTGGTGCCTGCTATACATCACTGTAAACGACCAGTAGATGCCACTAACGATCGTTTCGTATCTGCTAAAAGTATGTCATCTGCAGACTTAATTTGGTCATGCAGTCATGAGGTCTACATACAGTTGTAAGGATCGGTTATGAACTCAAATTGGCCCTCCGACCTCCGGGGAGTCGTCACTCAGTGGGTCTGTGGCTCGCGGCCCGGGAAGCTTAATGGCAATAACGAAGTCCCTGGCAATTACAGTTCCGTGAAGCATACCATAGCGTGATTTTCCTTGGTGATGCGAGACGGCTCGACCGTTTAATCTGCGACTGCATGTGTCATCTCCTACGCGTTTGCAACTTACTTGTATTCATGCATACGAGTCCAACTTTCTCAAGTTTCCAACGGTTTCTGAAATTCGCAGCTTAAAAGCGAAAGCCACCCGCTGTATCCGATGAGCCTGTCCAGAACCACATTCATTCTTCTACATTCATTCAAGATCTTTCCGCATTCATTCTATCTTTTTCAATATGAGAAATATTCTCCCCTTAGCTGCGGCAGTAGGGGCTGCTCATACCGCGAGCCTCTCTGATGTTTGTAACGATGCCTACATCAAGGCTGCGTTGCCTGCAGATGGCACCTTCCAGGGCATCTCCATGATTTCCAGCTCCGTCTCGACTACCATCCATTCGAATGTGTCCATCAGCAGCTCCAACTTCTATCCGGCTGCTACCATCAGCTACTGCGATGTCACCTTCAACTACACCCACACCGGTCGAAATGACCGAGTGGCCCTCACTTACTGGCTGCCCGCCCCGGCTGATTTCAAGAATCGGTTCCTTACCACCGGTGGCGAGGCATACGAGATTAACGAGGGTTCCAGTACCTCTGGATCCTTGCCTGGTGGTCTCATGTATGGAGCGGTCGCCGGCCTCACCGACGGTGGGTTCAATGGTCAATCCTTTGACGACGTCTTCCTTCTTGCCAATGGCACTGTCGACTGGCAAAACACCTTCATGTTCGGCTACCAAGGTATCCATGAGATGATGGAAATCGGCCGGCAACTCACCCGCAATGTGTATAACACTGGAAATGACAAGGTCTATACCTACTATCAGTCGTGCTCTGAGGGTGGCCGTGAGGGCTGGTCTCAGGCCCAGCGGTATGGCTATGATTACGACGGAATCATTGTCGGTGCGCCGGCTTTCCGCTTCGCCCATCAGCAAATCAACCACCTGGTTCCCAACGTCGTTGAACAGACCATGGATTACTACCCCCCTCCGTGCGAGTTGGAGCTGATTGTAAACGCCACCATCGCTGCTTGCGATCCGCTGGATGGTCGCGCAGACGGAGTTGTCGCCCGCTCCGACCTATGCAAGCTGCATTTCAACTACACCTCCTTGATCGGCGCTCCCTACTACTGCGCGGCCAGCTCCGGTGGCAGCAGTCTTGGTCTCGGATTTAGTAAACGGCAGTCCATGAGCTCGACCCCTGCGCAGAACGGTACCGTCACCAAAGAAGCCGTCGAGTTGGTTCAGACACTGCTCGCCGGTTTGAAGGACACCCAGGGTCGTCAGGCCTACTTGTACTTCCAACCCGGTGCGGACTTTGACGATGCTGAGACCACCTACGACTCAGAAACCGGCACCTGGGGCCTCAGTATTGACGGTAACGGGGGCGAGTTTGTGGCGAAGTTTGTGAACCTGCAGGAAGCGGACACGTTATCAACTCTTGACAATGTTACTTATGACACCATCCGCGGCTGGATGCAAATGGGATGGACAATGTACGAGGACACCCTGATGACTCACAACCCCGATCTTAGCGTCCTCCAGCAATCCGGTGGTAAGGTTCTGCACTTCCACGGTGAGCAGGACCCCAGTGTGCCCACTGCCTCGTCTGTCCACTACTACGAGGCTGTGCGCAAGATTATGTTCCCCAACGAATCTCTCAACACAAGTGCTGCCGCCTTGGGCGAGTTCTACCGACTGTACCTGGTCCCCGGTATGGCTTATTGCGGCACAAACAGCGAACAACCGAACGGACCTTTCCCGCAAACCAATATGGCCGTCATGATCGACTGGGTGGAGAACGGTGTGGTTCCTGTGACGCTGAACGCGACCGTTCTCCAGGGAGACAATGAAGGCGAGCACCAGCAGATCTGCGCATGGCCCCTTCGCCCTCTCTGGTCCAACAACGGGACTACCATGGATTGTGTATTCGACCAGGCCTCGTATGATACTTGGATCTACGATTTCGACGCCTACAATCTTCCTTTGTATTAGGAGCGGAACATGAATTAGCCTCGGGAGGCTAATTAGGAGGCTAGAGGGGTGGGTGTGTCTCAGAAAGGCTTGCGCTGATCGCTGATTGCGATCACATTTCTGCGGGCCCTGAAAGATAGATATAGCGGCATTATTAGTACGCTTTCTACTTCTTTGTATACCCTACAACGGGTGTATGTAATTTATTCAAATTGAAATGAAATTAAACTTAGTACATAAAATCTTGTTATTAATTCAAGTACTAGGTTAGGACGTAGCCCATGATAACACCGTATAAGACCAAATAGTTATAATATCAGCTCCCATGGAAGTAACGGTTTCAGCAGTGTCACGCGTCGCAGAAACCTAATCAGTAGCAGTGTTTCACTCAACCTGACCAATCTGTCTTTGCAGCTCCAGTCTGACATTATTACACCACTTTCTGCAGCCGCTGCATGCGCATGCCTGTTACCACAGAGCACGTCAGGGTCCAGCACGGGCGGCAAAAGTAATTGCCGGGATATACAGCGTTGTCCTGATTTGGATACTTCAATTGCCAACGCGGCTATTACAAGCCGGATCTGGTTAGGCTGAACCTTAATTTCCATGCAAAAACTCAATCATCAGATAACGGAGTTCCCGCCCGAGTCGCCCGCCATGTAATGAAATCTAGAAAGAAAGAAGCTTTTCTCACATTAAGATATCTCCGCGATAGTCGCGGTAATCGTCCTATAATCTACCTGGGATTTATACCAGATATTTTAATATTCGTCACGAATCCATAGATTTACTTTCGTTATTATTTATACCTATATAATAGGCTGAACATGTATACTCCGTTTGTATTATGTTCAACGCAGACTAGAAACTTCAGAAAAATACCGATAATACCATTTATCTTCTATTTAATTTGTAGGCCTTATATAAGGCTGTGCCAGTCTCTGGTAGTCAAAATAATCTGAATAGAATTTCTATAAAATGATACTATATGAACGACCGACTCGAGTGGCGTTACTTGAAAAAGTAGAATAACGTAAAGGTCATGTGGCCTGTTCCGCGAAGTCGTCAGCCAACCCCGCAGGTCAAAAATCCAAACTCTGATGACGTTGAAGTGTATGATATGATGGCTCCCCGCTACCTTTACTTGCCCGAACAACCCTTGCTGATATTATGACGCGAGGTACGCTTCTTATGAAAACTACCGATCGTTGTATAAAACCTCCCGTGAGATCTCGATCGGGATGTCTGACATGCCGGCGGCGGAAAAAGAGATGCGATGAGCGTCGCCCTTCCTGCACTGGCTGTCAGCGTAACAGCCTTGAATGCCAGTGGGAATCTGCTGACTCGATTGTATGGCCCAAACGCCGGAAGACAAGGGCGGGATTGGCCGAGAAATTACTCCCTGACCAGGCGCAAGGAATGGTGAACGTGTTCTCAGTCCTAACGCCCGACATAGTCTCCCGCTTGCTCCGTCACTTCCTCAACGCTAGCCCAAGATGGTTATCAACTAGAACTGGATCTCGACGGACTGATTACTTGAAGTGGCTCTCTCCTGCTTTATCAAAGAGTCATGTTGTGCGCAGTTGCGTACTTGCAATAGCTGCGGCAGATTTGCTCAAATACTACCGTAACCACCCACAATTACAGCATGCCGCCGCTGAATACTACGGTCAAGCTGTGTCTAGCCTCAGAGGAGCAATTGAGAGCGAAATGGCCGTCGCTTCGCCATCTGACGGTTTTCTTTCTGGTACAAATCATCCCCAGGCATCCATTTCATATTTCGCTAATATGAACCTAGACTACACTCCGCTGTCCGTCCTGTTGCTATGTCTACATGAGGTATGCGAATTGCAATGCAGCACGTTATTTCTGAGCAAGTATACTGACAGACTTAGACTCAAAATTTTACGAACCGCGAGAGAATCCTTCCGCATCTCAATGCAGCGGCTTTTCTGCTGCAAAATCGCATTCACTGCGGCAGCATGAACACTGAGTTAAGAGGATATCTATTTGAGATGTTTTGCTACTTTTTTACCTTAGCTCGTTTCTCCTTGGGTCCCAAACTATTGATCGCACAAGCGGATCCTATCTTCGCCTCCCCGTCAATCATCCGCCTAATTCAGCACGGCCATATCATGGGAACCTCACAGTCTTTGTTCATCGCCATTTACCGCATATCCCGTCTGTCTCATAACTTGCAGTCTAGCAAATCTGCCGACGTGCTTTCCGCACGACAGGAACTTTTGCTGTTGGACCAAGAATTAATGGCCTATGAAAGCCAGCTCACCCATGATAATACTATGGACCAGGAGCATCTCAATGATGTCATAACATCGAACCTTTACAGTTTGGCATGCCGCATCCACATCAGGGCACTATTTCTACCACATGGATCTGACGACAATGGCACAGTTCACTCTCTAGTGGATGAGTTCATAAACAACTTACAGCATCTTCCTCCGCACTCGCCTTCGCACAACATACTGTGCTGGCCACTGGTTGTTGCGGGCTTGTCCGCAAGAAATTCTGCACATCAACGTATCATTGTTGCAAAGCTGAACAATATACACGAAGAGTGGAAGTCAGCCGTCTTCTCAAGAAGTGCTGATTTCCTGCGAGAACAGTGGCGAAGGGATAGGGAGATGAGACGCAGATTGCCCATTACCAGTGGCTACGAGGATTCATCCATGTTAGATGGGTTGACATGGTATCAATGCCCTGTCATTCTGGCGTAACTCCTCTGGTCAAGTGGATTATCTTATGACTCTACTTAGCTTCATTTCACGCGTAAATATCTTTGCGAAAGACATGTATTGTGGACATACCGGGACACCACCCTGAGCTTGCATTGTATATAGTTGTGTGCTGTTTCGAAGAATTAAGACACCAATGTATATAGTTTCAATATCCAGTATGCTTGCTATCAGACTTTACATACAACGTTGAGAAAATCCAAGATAGTCACTATATGAGAAAATAGATAGTAGCAACCTCCATCCAAGAAAAATGAAAACAACAATAGCCTCATCATTAGTGTAATCACTGCAGTGGTACAAAGCGTACCCAAGTAGTCTCATGCCCGCATCATTATGTTTGTATTCATGTGGTTGCCAGGTTGCAGGAACCATCACGCCGGTATGCCGTCTTTTCGAATTGGAGATTATGGCACAGATTCTGTAGGTTCCTGACCAAGTAACTCATCACCAATCCCATGCACTTGTCGAGGTCTCGAGTAAATGATTTTATAATGATTGATCTCTCTCTCTGGTGGTTAACCCGGCATGAATGACAGCATGATCGATACCGGCCTCTGTCAGTAAGTCCATACGAGTGATTTCTCCTGCTTCAGAAATACCTGGTGTCTAATAATCGGCAAAATTGCTCGCATCTTGGGGGCGCCTCGCATCAGCCATTCAAGGCCGCCTGTGTCGAGTTCTATTGCATATCCATCGCCATCGTTGAGTGAGACATTGGTATGATGGTGCTCTCTGGTTCGTGTGTAAAAGCCTTTTACGGAATTTTGGCTATGATTGATGTCATCGATATTTGACACATGAGTGGGTGAGTAATATACCAGATGAAAAGCATTCAATCATCGAGTTGGACCTGTAGTATAGTGGTAGTCCAGAAGGCCGACAGCGGCATACATATTTGTTTTGTAAAGACGTTCCGCAACAGCCCAATCCGTTGTGCCTTTCCGTTCATGCAATATCCGTGATTCGGATGCAGGGTTGTATATCCAATGCTCTGATCTGTTGAGTCATCTAGTCATATGGTCGGGAACGCTTAGCCAATGATTTTCACATCCCGAAATTGTCTGGCTCTTCACATGACGACGGCATGTCGCAGTGATATATGTAGCTGTCAGCTTTAGTTGTTCTCTTGCATGCTGAGCACAAACGCCCCCTCTTCAGGCAAATGTATAAATTCAATCTCTTGCTGCTTTCATCAAAGGTGCGGTGCCAGAGGTGGGCCGTCTGACGGATTCCGTATAGGGCCATCTTCAGTAGGTAGATTAGCGCTGGTGGTCGTTCGTGATACCCAGTAGGCTAGTTCACATAGGCGCTTTTGCCTTCTTCTAAATTGAGCTCTCGGCTAGGTATAAACGATATCTCACTGTTCCTAGCGATGATTCTTTATTGTTACGTTGGTCATGAACATCTCTGGTGCGAATCGCTGGCCACGGGAGTGAAAGGTTCGTCGTAATCGATGCCTAGTACCTGGCGGTTCCCATAAACAACCCATAGTCTGTGCACGTCTCACCTTGTCCAAAGTGAGCCCTGTGCTTGATCGCTTGGTGTATCTATATTTCGCCTGTTGAAATGGAGAATGGTCCATACACCGCGACGCATGACCTTTGTCTCTTGACTATCAGCCAAGAAAGCATGACCATCTGTGCGTGCCTCGCATATCATCGGATTCCGTTCGCACACTTTGAAGCCAAGCCTACCTCAGAGTTAATAACACATTGCGGTTGTCATTTAGAACAATGATTTTACCTACAGTGAAACCAATGGAATTGTTCCGTATATAGAAGAGACGGTACACCCTTCTTATTGACTCGAAGGAATGCCACCATCGTTAGACAGTGGAATGTGGGACATCGGTCGCAGGTTGGTGAACATTTCCTGACAGTTTGATAAGATATTGCAGCCAAATTTCCTTATTGATAATATATTCTGAGGGCATCAATCACAAGGATATACTACTGCCCTGAGTTCAGAGTCGGCATGTGGGAAGGTTTCCCATCTGAAGATTAAGGCTTGCCTCTTGGGTATGCTTTTTCTTTATCCTCATCGCTGGAAGCTGATAGGTCGGGTACCATGTTCTTCTTGGTCATTGGGTTTGGTGTATCAGCCAGGAAAGTTGGTATAATCTTTCGCAGTTTCCGAGGATCTACAGAAGATTTGTCTGTTAGCGTGATATATACCTGGGAATGTGTGAGTGCATACTGATTAAGACTCGAAGCCGATATATGAGGGTGAAGCTTCAGAAATGTATCTCAAGGCTCGATCTAGGGAGTCAGAGTATGACCATCTTCCGATTTATGGAAAATGGATGGTATGGGTTCAGATGGATTTGAAAGAACGCAACAGTGGGACGGAAGCTCCCTTTTATATAGGGGTTGCAAAAACAATGGACCAGATGAATTCAGCGCCGTCTGTCTACAGTGACGCCTCATATGTTAATGTCACATTCATGGTTCCTGTCACTTCGGCTTTCAGGGTGCAGAGGTGAAGTACTGTATTTCAAATTCACACATTGAGTCAATCACCATCAATATCTTTAATGTTGAAGATCAAGTCCAGCGAAGTTGCAAATCACGAGTGATTATTTGTTCAATTAAGGGATATATATATATTAAGTAGTGAAATGAGCCAAGCACTTAACGCTAGTAAAATCTTCATTAAACAAACTAATCACTAATAACCAAGCGATAAGAAGATCAGACTTATGCATAGACTTATACACGTACTACCTAGATAGTTATGTGGTTGTTTCTAGGGTGTTCCCGATGTTAAGTAGGCAGGATCCGTGGGCATCTTAGGAAGACCGGAATCTTCCGACGGGCAGTACATTTACACTAAATGTGCAAACTTCGAAGATCTATGTAATCATATTAGTCTTGACTAGAAAAATCATCATATTAAGAAGTTGCAATGCCGTTAGTAATTTCGCTAGTAATACGACATCGGGGCATTGTTGATTGGGCTTCATCGAGCTGGTGGCCATGAAAATAAGCGCGGGGAGCCAAAGAAGGTAAGAATAACTTGAGTGAGTCATATAGTCGAGTCTAAAGCATCTTATCATCAAATTGGGCTTGTGGTTTAGGGGTATGACGCTCCATTCGCATTGGAGAGGTCCCGGGTTCGATTCCCGGCGAGTCCAGTTTTTGGTTTTTCTTTTTTTGGTCCCTCTGCCGGGACATATTCTGGGTACAGTTACCCGTGTGGGGATCCACTTAATTGACACACTGACTTAACTACACATTACGCCGGACCCTTACTCTGCAGTTTGGATCTCGGCACTTTGTCATGATGTTTTCCGATGACAATCAAAACCAACTTCGTTATCTACCAAATACCCTTTGAAGACAGCTTAAAGATCCAAGATCTTTGCAAGGGATCCCATTTTTACATATCTCTGCCCGAGATATTATGCTATCCCTGTCTTCGTGGAAGGGGGCTAGCAGTCAGAGTCTTGATTAGTGTAATCAAAATACAGACCGAATCCCTTATCTGCCTTCTCAGCATACTTGGCAATCTCGGTGACCACGTCTCGTCCTTGGTATACTCTTCTATGAAAGGTCTCAAGTCGTAATGCAAACGACATATGAGCTAGTCTGCGCATTGTTCCGATTGTCAGTGCCGACCGGCCTTCTCTATAAGGTGATTGCCTTTGGGACCTACTAGTCCTTTTATTTGCCGTTCGATGTATAAGTATTCAGATTGGCGCATTGAGATATTGAATGGCTTATGCTATGCTTGTGTCTCTGACTAGATTCCCATCATTTTTCGTCGGTAAGTCTTTCGCATATGGGATTTTGCCCCTGGGCAAATTGTTCAAGGAGCAATAACTGGTTGGCCTCTAGGTAGGTACCTAATATAAGTTATATAGTAATATAATAAATCTACCCACAACCACAGTCCGAAAGAGTAGATATTGCCTGTATATATATATTGAATGATACTATCAGCTTGACGTACCTTTATGTACATTAATGAGCACTACTTCGAATATGTATCATTAATCGCTCTAGAGGAGCTTTATAGTGGGACTTTGCGAGGTCATGGTGGTAGGCAAGGACGATTGGAGAAGTTGGAGAGAAGAAGGAAGAATGGAGGGTGAAGATGAGATTTATACAGACCAGAGTAGATGGCGTGAATATAGCAGAAAGCATTCCCCTACCTGGCAAAATGTGAAGCCTCATGGGATTCATCTGGGAATACACTACAAGAAGAGTAATACGTCTTCTAAGGGTGAATCTTGGATTATAATGCTCCTACGTGGTTGGTGGTGGCAATGAATATCATTTCTTGAATGACACTTCAAGATTGCCTTCATCGGGCATTTCATTAGATGTATGGAGTAGTGAAGAGCCGATATATCAACAAAGAGGTTGGTGGAACACTTTGCCTTCTACCTGAGGCAGAAGAACATATCCTTTTGGTGGACGTGATAGTATCATTTCATTAGTAAAGTGATGACTGGTCTCGCGCCTGCTGTTAGGAAGTCATCAGATGGTGATAAACCCCGGTATGTTGTCCCTTTCTCAAGGACACAACATCGCTGGAGCGAGATAATTCATGACCATGATATGGTGGTGGCTCGGCACCCCAATCAGATAAACATAGTTCATCTAATGTATTCAAAAGCGGTATCTTCTCAATATACGTCTCATAAGACGCCGCAATGTTAATTGGTAATGTAGCTTCCAACGATCGACGACGTCCATTCGAATCGGGCGTAGAATACGACATACGCATGTCGAGAAGATAGGCTCGTGAGAGAAGACACGTAGAGAATGGTATGAGATGTCCATTCCGAGGCATGCGTATAGGGAGATGTATGGATGTTGTGTAGTATAGCTTGTCGCCGCTCTGATGTAGGGTAACACAGTCCCCTGGGGCTGGCTCATGCCTGACCCATTGCGTATATGAGATATCCTCTGATCGCATCGCGATAGTCTCGACATGTGCTTGTCGGTATTGCGCCTCATGACGCTTGAGCCGTTTGACACTGGGCCTTGTCGCCAAGAATGTTGAAGCCTTGAGCGTGCAATGTAGGTTTCGTAGTTGAGGAGGCTTCGCTTCTCCCGCTGCTTCGAAGCGAAGCGGTATGGTAAGATATGCGTCGAAGGAGCCATTCGAGGAATCCCCATGACAGCGCCCCTGCGTCAATTTTGCGGAAGACCCTTCCACAGATAATCTGCACGGAGAAAGCGATGCTTTGCTCTTCACGTCCTGCTTCGGGTTGTGTTGTAATGATATGAAGGTCTGCAGGCTTCGCGGGAGGTGGTTCGACTGATGCGCAGGGACGAACCGTATATCTCTTGTAGATGTAGTTGTTCTTTCGTTATTACCATCGTTTTCTATATGGTAGAAAACCGTAGCACGAACAGAGTACGCAATCCGACACAGTTCCTGAGACAAATTGGGGAATCGCAGTGTTGGTGGAAGCTTAGCATGCCGATAGTCGACACATCCATTGCTCTTTTCGTGTATGCAAGATCCGAGGGGCAATTCCTCGGGAATGACGAAGTAGAATGGATAACTGTAAGTTCTTCCTGGGACATGAATAGGCGAGTTAGGAGTTTCAATGGGCTGTTGAAGCTTCAGGAATGTGTGGCAGGCTGTAGGTTCACGAAGTTCGGTAATTGGCCGTGGTAAAAACACCCGCGAGGAGCCTAATGTTTGTTAGATGTCATTGGGCCAAAGGTTGAGGGATTAGATGAGTTGCATACCTTCAAAAGTAATCTGTGTGTTATTAACATTAGTGTCATTGGGCGCAGTCACCGTCACTGTGCCTTCGATCCGGTCCCATGTTGTGTAACTTGGTTTAGGATCTTTTATTGTGATTTTGATTATGGGAGCATGAGATTTTGCTGAAAGCCAGTTCATGATTGAATGCAATGGCAAGTCCCAAGAATATGCAAAAATGTCAAGTGAATTTTAGCAGATTTCAGTTTCCCCGGACTGCTTGCACTTATACCCCCCAAGCGATGACTCTCCATTCTTCGGAACCTCATGCCGGGCTCGTTGGGTCCCGGAGTCGGGGTCTTTCCCGGGCAGGTGTGTTCGGTTGCCAATCCCGAAGATGGGAGCTTCTTTTGCCCCATGTCCCTAGTTACCGAAGGAATTTATTTCTCTTCAAAATTAAGCTAGGGCCTAGCTAATTTTGTAATGCAAGCATTTCAGGGTCCTTTTCCGGTCTTCGCTCGTGGCCACTTGCAATACGAGCAATGCAGATGTTGACTAAAGTTGGTCAATTACTAGAAAATCTCGAGATGGCATACTCGGGTACCGGTACCCGGGACAGGATTGGATTCCCAATACTGCATTTGAAGAACCGGGTAGACAGGTCCACCACCTCTCTATGGGCCGAACATTTCGCTGGGACAGGATATCCAGCGAGTAACGTGTTTTTTTAAACCATTGTGGGTCCAGAACAACTGACGGCTACTGAAAGGTGCCACTTTCCGACGTCTCCGGTGACATCATCTAGACCATTGAGAAGTTTGTCTTTTGTAATAGTAACATCGTAATATACAGCTTGGAACTAAATCCACCTTCATTGAGGCCTATCAAACTCCGATTCGGCGTCCACATTTCCAGGAAACGAGAGGAATGCATCCGGCACAGGCCATATGCTAGGCGGCGCTGCAGTATCCTCGGAGCCTGGAATCGCGGCAAAGGCATCAAGTTCCTGCGGAAACGAGGAGAAAAATCCGTCAAATGAAGGAATACTGCCTGGATTGTTGGGCGACTCAACTCCTGCTGGAGGTGAAAAAGCTTCCGAGTTCAAAGGACCTAGGCGCCAGAGCTTGGCCCATTTCTGGAATTGGTCATAGCCTGTCTCAGACGAATCTCCTAGGGGAGATCGTTCGCCGAGACCAAGCTGCTGCCGAGCACGCTCAAGCGCTTCGATTACTGCAATCTCCGACCGAGCTGACTCCAACCCTACACAAATCTGGCGGATCAGGCCCATTCCTCGCGTTAGGGCGCCACCTATCGGTTGTGATGACCCGCTGAGGAGCTGCGCAATCAAGGCCAGCAAAGCTGTGCGGCACGAACTGAACTCTGTGTATGACACGCGTGCGAGTCCGACCGAGTCATGCAGCAGCTGACAAAGGTCAATGATTCTTATGGCTGCTCGTGTGCAGTTTCGCGAGAACGTCTCGATTAACTCGGCACGACCACCTTCTTTTTGTGATCCATATCCACCGCTATCCGCGATCTCATTTTGTAGAAAGATAAAAGGCCGGCCCATATAAATTAGTGCGGTAGCGTAGTTTAGCTCAAGGTGCACATTGGACCGAAATAAGGGCCCGGCTGGATCAAGGTCGCGGCAGTGCAATGTTTTCGGGAGCGAGTCCCACCACCTGCTCAAGTCCATCCTCAGGTTGCATAGTTGGTGCAGATAGGCATCTTGATGACTACGCGGACATCGTCGCAGTCGTAAGATAATCTGGGCCACTTTCCCAAGCTTCTTTGTCAAGTGGATGGCCGCCGTGACATTCGGTAAATTTGAGATACCGCTGGGTTGGCGCAGCTCAACCAGGTCAGCAGGCATGTCGGCGTCTGTTTCAGAGGGAGACACGGATACAGGACGGCCATGGAGGATGCTGATACGGCTGTGTGACTGTGAGCCCGGTTCACACGACGTAGACTAGTGCCTCACCTTTCAAGGGAATACGCTGTCCACCACAAACGGTTCCGCCATTCCACTATCACTGGCGAAACCGACGGCGCAATATGCTTCCGGTGCATTCCATTCTGGATGGCCATTTTGATGGCCAGGCCGTAGTACGTGTAGGCCATTCCTGCGGTATCAATCGGCAACGTATACACACCCAGTAATAAAAAGGCCTGCACAGTCTCAAGCGAGGCGGTGGTGATGAGATCAGGGATCAAACGACACGAAAACCGATATAGATCCATCCCAATGCGATCGTCAGGAATGTCTTCCGAAAAAGGAGGCTTCTCCGTCGAGGAAGTCTGCATGTATGCAAATTGAGTGCCAATCGCAAACGTCATTAACAGGGTACAAATCCAACCCGCATCGTCGATCACAAGCGGCCTGTCGACAGAATAATAGTAGTCCATCTTCTCCCGAAAGACTGTCTCGGGGAAATAGAAATAGTTTGTCTGTGCATACTCGAGGAAGGTATTGGTTAGGAATTCGGCAACAGGACGAGGTGGTAAGTATTCTATGGAGGAGGCGACACACGAACTGGCCGACTGCAGGCCAGTAGCGCGAAAGAATCCATCCGAGGGATTTAAGCCCTGAACGATCCGTCAGCGGTGCCATGGGTGAATGCAATTTGAGGAGCGCATGCATCTTTCTGTCCTTTAGGAGTACCCAAGCTCTGTAGACGTCGGCGGATCATTTTGGAGAAATTCCAGTGCGACAATTCCCCTGAATAGTCTGATGCGAGGCCAGTTAACGGCTGCCCTTATGAACAGTGTCTTGGACATACGCATGGTGTTCGTTGACAATGGCTCCAACGAATAGCTCTCCGGTGTCTGGTCTTCATCCTCCACTCCTCGTGTCTCTGGAGGAGTCCCGCGATACCGTCCGCTTTCCAGCAAGTCTGCGGTCTCCTCTAGCCGAGCGGGATCGAGCGAGACGTCCCCGCCTAGGAAGTGACGTATAATGCGCTCCATTTGGAACTCGCGCTGCGACGGTACTGCGGAAATACCTGTTGGCTTTGGTCGAGTATCTTCGAAGTGGCAGGTGCGGTTGTATTGTTGGCAGCGTGCGCAGGGCGGACCGCCACCATGGCCTAGAGCTCCGAGGCCTGATCAGTCGACGGACGAGGAATGGCAAGTGCAAGAGGTCATGACGGTGAAAGTACATTTTTCCTTGTGTTGGCGACAAGGCAGGCATCTGATAGTTCAATTAAGAGTCAATGACTGTTTTTGTGACTAGATTGCGACGAGGAAGCATACGCGCGCGCGGCTCTCTTGCGGAGCGCATCAGGAACTCGTGGTCGTCTCTGGCGACCAGGCCGACGGGGGGGTAAGGAATTCATTGTAGGGGTAGTAGGGGACACTGCCCATGATGCCTGAGCTAAAAGTTGCGAGTCATTCAATTGATGGAGACAAAAGAAGCTCCGTGAAGGAAGGTAAGAAAGCGATGACGGAGATAATTAGCGGAAGTGGGGGGTGGATGGATCCCTGGCAGAAGGCGTGCGGTCAAGTCACATGGCTGAAGCTTCCGGCAACAACAATCAGGGAAGTTATCTATTATGGCTAGAATTATTTACCATCATTTTCATGCTAGAATCAATTGTGCTGAAATTCACATGTTATTCCTGCGAGATTACATTCCCTGAAAGGCGGAATCGTGTTAATCGTCATTGATCGGATTCGAGAACCGAGCATAATGTGGAGCAGTTTACGGGCGCGCAATTAAACTGCCCAGCTCAGCATGAGATCTACACTATTCTCACTGATGATGTACTGCATATAGACCCTGCTTTCTTGATAGCAAGTACATACGACCACAGGGTGTGGAAAATAGGGCTTCCCGTCCGCTCAGCCGTACTCAAGCTACACGCCGGGAGGTTAGTAGTTGGGTGGGTGACCACCAGCGAATCCCTTCTGTTGTATGTATTCTTCTCTTTTTGCTTTTCTTTTTTTTTACCCAATTTTCTTCTCTATCTGGTCTAACAAATGAAGTTTTCATACTCAAATACTCGGTCAGGTAAATGGTGAAACAGCGGTGATTGTTCTGGTCCCATCCTTGGCACAGCGATGATAATGTTACCGCTTCTCGCATCGTCCAGGATGATGTGCAATAACAGAGCGCTTCTCTTTCGGGCGGTCTGGCCTCTTTAACTCGATGTCCGTGAATTGCTCCTTGAAATCCACCACAAACACATCCACAATATCAGGGCCACACCCGAGAGCCCAAGAATGAAAGGCTGCAGAATCTGGACCCCTCTGGCTTCTGCGACTGCACCAATCGCCGATGGCATCAATGCTGCTCCAGCCCCTCCGATCGCCGAGGCAAACCCGATCGAGCTCACGTGTAGTGATTGGGGAAGCAGCTTGGTGGCCACTGCGATGAGGACCGGGAATAGAGGGCCAAGAAAGAAGCCTTGCAGGGAGACTGCGACTGCTGAGACGTTGAAATTTGGCACGAGCCAGAAGATGAAGCCGAAGATTATCGCCAACACGGAATATAGCTGCAGAAAGTGAGCATGAGCTAAGACCAAACTCACTGATCAGGGTGGAAAGGGTGAGAGGTGGCATACTGTAACTGCCGGTTCTTCGCCTATCATCGGCGTAACAAATCCGAGGAAAATGCGGCCACAGGTGATGCCCAGCCAAAATCCCGTAACAGCCATGCCGCTGGCAAATGGGCTACCGTGGCGTACCTGCATCATGAAGACGACCGTCCATCCGCCCAAAGCGACTTCAATGCCAACGTAAATGAGCAGGAAGAGCGCGCAGATCCAAGTCACCCGAGCATAGGGCTGTTGGAAAAGAGCACGTTTTAGGCTACCATGTTCGCTGTCATCGGAATCATCGCCCGCTCCTCTGGCGATCGGTCTATCATCCCAGAAGGCGATGGTGCAGACAACAGCTTCCATAGTAGCGCACACAGCCTATATCCATATGAGTAGGTAGTGGAGGTAGCAGACATCGGAGAGCGGTACCATAATAGTGTAAAAGTAGAACCACGGAACATTGGCCTTGGTTACCAGTCCTGACACGATCAATGGGCTTAGCACAGCTCCCAGCCCATACAAACCATGCAGCATCCCCAGTAACTCATTCGAGCGAGACAGGCTGCTTATCCAAGCGTTCCATCCTGAGTCTGCTAGTCCATTGCCGAACCCAGACAGCACAAAAGATACCACAACGATAGGGAATCGAGGATGCAAGGAGACGATACTAAACGTTAGCAAGTGGCAGGCCGCTGAAATGAAAGCGACACCGCGACGACCCACTTGGACGTGGACTTCGCTGTTCAGGAGTGCCGCAAGTGTGTAGCCACAAATGGGAGATAGGAATAGAAGCGAAACGGTGCCGTGTGAGATGTCGTAGTATTTTTCAAGCTTTCTACTCAACAGCTTATCTACAACAGGATGGCGAGATTGCACTTACGTAGGGAATTAAAGGCTGGACGATTGTTAGTTTCAATAACGGCAAGTCTGTTCTTCTCTACAGTCCTTACCCCATATGCTGCATCCCCCGCCCCCATGATCAGAAATGTCCAGAAGACAGCTAGAACTTTGAGGACATTGGAGCCGGGTCCCTGCCGCCGTTTACTGTGGCCCAGTGGATGCTCAACATCATCTGGGTGAGGGTGTTGAGGTCTGTGCCCTAGCAAGGGGCTGTCGACTGTGGACATTGCGTTGCCCTCCACGGAGAATAGATTTTATAATATGATATTGAGACTGCGTTAATGGAGCTATTAAATCCTGGTTGTGGTCTGGGATACACTGGTGCTGGAGAGTTGGAAATGTTGGGATGATTTGTTAGATGGTTGGCAAAATGATAACCAACCCCGCAGACCATCTGATAAGCGCCCGTGCTACCGTGCATTAATAATTGAGTGGTTGGTTGATTGGCGTGTCATGCAGCATGGATCCACTACTAGTACTGATGGGATGCCGAGAAGATTAGCGCGAGTAGGGCCAGCTGGGGTCTCTTACGAGCTGCTTTCTTTGTCGTGATCGGACCTAAATCAAAACAAGGTTATCGCTGATCAAAAGTCTTTTTGGAATTGTATGATGGTATGAAAATATGGACCAGCCTGTTTCGGGAGAGATGAAGCAAACCTCTCACGGAAAAGGGGATAATCATGACGGACGTGACTTGCCATCTGGCGCGGAAGAGAGCGGTGTATCCGTCAATGAGGTTAAAGAGTCGGTGTAACAGAAACACTTTCTGCCCCATCTACAGACCACTGATATTGTTACTCCGTGAAACAAGAATGTGCCTGAATAATGAAGCGGCATTATTAGTATTTTGAAACTTGGCCGAAGACAGATCCTCTTCACCACGCCACATACATATTCTGTGTTGTAGTGATGCTGTTCTGCCCACATGGTTTGTCTTCATCGCACCAGAACTCCGAGCAAGTCCCGATAGCTGCACCAACATGCAAAACCAATTCATTACAGGATGGCTTCAATGACTCTCTCGCAGTAGACAATCATTCAGGTAACTGCGTGAACACACAATCATAGCCCAGTGTACATTCGAGTCTTGGGATGTCGTAAACATAGAAGGAATTATGCCATTCATCCACTTACCCAAAACCAGTTTAGGCCTCAGAAGCTGCACTAGGTACTGCAGGGACTGGATAACTATGGGGACAGCAGTTATAGATTTATCCGCCGGCATTCCTGGACCCATATTCTCCCGCTCTTACGATAGCATCTACTAAGCATCACTAAACTTATACCACTAAATCATTATGCGATAGATTTACAGCAGCAGCATAGTCTGCGTCCCCACTTGCAGGCACCCGCGTCTGACATGCCGGGATTTGGCTGGATGCCAGACTCCCGTGGGAATAACCCTCTTTAGGTCTAATGCGATGGTCTCATGTACTGTATGCAATGTGAAGAGACTACAGCGCACCAGATAAGGGTCTAAGCGGCATGATGCACATCGGTATCAGAAAATTAACTTCCAAAAAGAAGATGCACATAGTGGTACTGATTTATATCCTTATATGCCACCTCATCTCATTGACATGTACAATGCTTATGTGAAATTCCGCTCAATGTATTCGAAGCATAATATTGAACGGTCCTATTATGGATATTGGGAGCTTTAGAACTGCCTTGTGATTTAGCATTGTTTCGAGGATGATCCTAAATATATGATTAATATATATATATTGAGAGGGCTTGGTGCTACAATATGAAGTAGCCACAAGTGTAGTATCCCGACGTGTACAAAAATCAGTCTACACTATTCTGAATTCATATTTTCTGATGACTTAGCACTTAAGTAGCTTTTGTATCACTAAATACTGCCATCATATGGCAATGATCTAAAAAATCAATTAAGTTCTGCCAATTAAGGCGGTGGTGGGGCTCCACCGAACGAAGTGGACGCTCATCATAGTGACGTATCCAATTATCGGTTTACGTATAAGGTACAACATCACCAACAATAATCTTAATTTACTTTCGAGATAGCAAATGTATGTGAAAAATATTTACTGTTCACTTGTTTCATTGCTGCTAGCATGTCTGGCTATGGTGTAGCTAGTGTGTCGGTGGAAGCTCGCAACTGCTAGAAGACATTACGAACTTTACCAGATCAGGCCCACAGAAAGTTCATCTCATTCATTTTGCAGATGAACACATCTTCATAGTCATGATGATATCAATCTAGTCGACGATCAAGTACATAGAAACCTCTGGATAAGCATATAAGCCACGTCTTCCTCTAATTTCGATGGTCCAGTGATTCCACCAGACAACATCTAGCAACATACCACCACTGAAACTAGTGTACTATCATAGAATCGCACACTCACAATCACGATGGGCCGCACTTATCGTACTCACCACCCCAAATTCGCCCTCGGAAACACCGTCAACCTGCGCAGTTTTCGCCGCAGTCTGCCCTTCCAGCGCGATGACGAGGGTAACATCACCGGCTACGACAAGCTCCTGAACGAGTCTCGCAAGAATGTCGAACACTACGATTCATCCGGCACCCTATACGCAAATGCCACGGAAGCACTACAGGGTGACCGGTTCTACGTTGAGCAAGGTGACAATGGATACCGGTTCAAGGAGACCGAGACGGGAAAATATCTAGCGCTGAAGGGACAGTATGTAGTACCCTCATACCTACCTTGGCACGGCACGAGCTGACTACTATGGTATTTCTACTGGTTGGATTGGACTCGATGATGAAGGAACAGATCTCTGGTTCGAGGAGTGGCCAAAGGAGGAAGGCAGGTATATCATCACGCCGCGAGGTGACAATATCTATCCTGGTGATGGGCCGGGATATCACCTATGGTTCGAGGGGGCGCCAGATGCAGTGTTTCGGAATGGTGACAATGATTTGAATGTCAAGGGGGAGGGGCAGCATGCGATCTTTTGGATTGATACTTTGGTGGGGCTGTAAACGTTTGAGCTTCCTTCTAGTGTAAAAGAGAGGTGCTCCATACGATATCATACATGAGAGATGAAACATGAGGTCTGCAAGAAGATTATGAGGAATGATTACTACAGTTTCATATGTGATCGAACATGTACCCGTGTGATTAAATGACCATTAGAGATACTCCCAAGCATCCAGATTGTAAGCACAGTAGCAAGATTAGTTACTCACTAGATATATATTAGGTTGATAATAATATCACGGGGGCTATAAACATCTGGCCAATCAATCCATATGTTTGTCTACAAAAATCTGATACAATACTATCAATGTATTGCAATGGGTGTTATCAGCCTCCTCTGGCTACCATGAGCCTAGAAATAAAATCTGCACTGAAAACTTTATCTTACCGGTGTCATATGTGGACTCAACAGGCTATAGTAAATGACCACAAAGTGATAGGACGAACGTGGAATTCGTTCCCCCTTGCAGCAAGTATGGACATAAATAAATCATGGCCATGCATAGCCAGCCTCACATGTAACGACACCAGCCACGATGATGGCGTAGGCAACAGCGTTCTTCCAGAGCCGAGGAGAGCGTGAGACCCTGGGGGATGGTGGTGGTCCGGGGTGATTGGATGACAGGGGGGAGCTTGGGTGGGTCCCGCCAGCCTTAAGGGGCGCTTCTAGGCCTTGGCGCTTCCAGGCGAGGTACAGCTTTGGGGAGAGCGCAATTTCATCCTGGAGGAGTGACCAGTAAGCGTGTCCCCAGTATCCCTGCCGGAACTCTTGGCGGCTTGGCTCAGTTCTCCTGAATGAGGAAGAATGAGAGAAATGGCAGGTAATCTAACCCAAGTGATGCTCCACTTTCCCGCCCGACGGGGCAGGGTGTGCTTGGCGCCACCATCACCATAAGCGTGGTTGTTATTGTGGTAGGTTGCGGATGCGCCCGCCCGCACTGGCAGGCCCATGGAGTATTGAGGTGTGTTGTGTTACCTGACCTGGGTTCGATATGTATCTATTCTTAGCGCCAATGTTGTCTTCCTCCCAAGCCAATACTTTGGGCTCGGCACGGGGATCTTCCATGCTCTTTCTCGATGGCTGATTCACTTTCATCTGAGCGCACATCCAATCGCACCCTCGGCGGTGGATCGCACCCCAGCAAAATTTGCAGGGCCAAGATCCGCCAGCTCGTCTGGTGTCTGTCCGCAGGGCTGACGGACTTTGGCCAGTAATGCGTCTGCCTGCCTGGCGCCCTGAGCGGATTCCGTGGATTCCGGCTATATAACTCCTGAGCTCCCCCGCTGGTCCACTGGCCACCATTGTGTGACCCTATACAATACTTACTTCTGTCCAGATCATAGAACAGACAGAACCACAACCATGTCCTACCAGCAGCAACCGCCTCCCCAGGGATAGTATGTACCTTCCGAACACTATGAATGTTTGTCCGAGCTCAGAAACTAACGCTGTCTGTTTCATAGCTACCCTCCCCCTGGTGGCCAGTACCCTCCTCCCCAGCCCATGCAATATGCGCCTCCCCAACAAGAACCCTCCAAGGACCGTGGCTGCTTGACCACCTGTCTCATCACGATGTGCTGCTGCTTCCTCTGCGAGGAATGGTGCGAGTGCTGTCTCGAAGCCGCCGAATGTTGTTGTTGTGGTTGTTAGTATCGTGATGATGGCTTTGTTTTAAAATTCTTATGTGCAAGGCGCTGTGATTGGGATTATACCTGGATCGACCGCACTTGGGTGATTGCATTATACTACTGTCTATACTATTTTATATGTTACCATGTCAATGATCATTGTTTTCTGTGACTCATGTTGGTTTCATACTTTGTCCCCATTACTACTAACTAGAGTACGGATTGAACTCATTGACAAACACATTCCGAGGCTTGCTCAATGAGCTGGGTCCTCTCTTCAGGAAAGCTCCGTCTCCTTTGCTGCCGACAATGCCACCTGCGTCGCGGTTCCACACCGTCTTTCCGCGGAGGATGGTATATCGAGGCCAGTTGGTGAACCCCATGCCCTCAAACGGGGTGTAGTCAATATCGTGATGCAGCATGTCGTTGGACAGTTGGAATGGTGTCATGACCGACGTGCCGTTGGAGGCAGCCTGCTCTGGCGTGGGATACCAAATCGTCAGGTCCGCGTCGAAACCCGGCTGAATTGTCCCCTTTGAGCTCCCCAGTCCGTATAGCTTGGCTGGGTTCGAGCTAGTCAGTTCGACGAACTTCTGGATTGAGATGCGACCGGTGAGCACACCACCGCAGAACATCGTGGGCAGTCGCGTCTCCAGCCCCGGCAGTCCATTCGGGATCTGGGTGAAGCTAGACGTGCCCTTCTTCTTGCCGAGGGGGTGATCAAATCTCCCTGGTCAGCAATAATCGACATAATCACGGGTGGTACTCACTTAGATGGTGCGTGGTCGCTGGACACTGTTGTGAAGGTTGAATTGGCCAGACCCGCCCACATCGCCTCCAGGTCCATCGGATCTTCTCGCAACGCTGGCGAGCATACACATTTGGCCCCTTCAAAGTCCTCACCCTTTAGTCGCTCACTCGTGAAGAACAGATAGTGAGGGCAGGTTTCCGCGTGAACTGGCAGCAGCCGCGTCTGAGCCGCCCGCACATGTGCTGCAGCCAGCTTGGAGGACATATGCACAATGAGGATGGGGACATCAGCCAGCTCAGACAGAGAAATGACGCGATATGTCGCCTCGTCTTCTGCAATATTCGGACGCGCCAGAGCGTGACCATATGGCTCTGTACGGCGGCGCGCCTCCAGTTTCTCCGTCATCCACTGGATCATCTCGTGATTCTCGGCGTGCACCATCGTCGTCATCCCCAGCCGACGGGTGGATTCCATGACATCTAGAATCTCGCCATCCCCAAGTCGCATTGGTTGATAAGTCATGTATAGCTTTACAGAACTGATACCACTGCTAACTAGCACTGGCAACTCTTCATCGAGAATGTTCGGGGAGGGATTTGTCAGGATGAGATGGAAGCCGTAGTCGCAGTACGCCTGGCCGGTAGCCCTTCGATGATATTCCTCGACCACGGGAAATAAACTCTCGTCAGTTCGTTTTTGACTCGCAAAGGCTAAAACCGTCGTTGTACCTCCTGCGATGGCTGAGCGAGTCCCTGACTCCCAGGTATCGCCAGTTGGGGAGTTATCCTGTTGCAGATGCACATGGCTGTCGACACCACCTGGCGTCACATATGCGCCCTCTGCAGCGATTGTTGCTGCACTGGGGAATAGTGCTGGGAGATTCTGTCCAAGAAGGACAATCTTGCCGCCGGAGATGGCGATATCTTGGTTGGGGACTACATCCGAGGCGGTGGCCTGCTGGTGTGAGCGATGTTTCTAGATAGTAGAATGGCACGTACCACTGTAGCGTTGATGATTATCAAGTCGATTCCTGGAGTAGCTTTCATTGCGACGAGCGTATACAGTTGTTCTAGATTTGTGAATATCACAGAGAGACTCCGGATAATAAATCACTATCATTATCGCCTCCACCCTACTAATACTACTGGAGGTCATCGGATCGGCCGACGATAAGATTGACTCCCAGATAGCGATAGGGTCTACCCCGACCTTCCTAATCAAGCCAGCTCGACAACGATCACGCGGAAATATATCCGGACATACCAAGAAGTATATCTGCACCTACTATTTGTCTGCTACTTCTACCGAGGGATACACATTCCCCAACTTACCCCTCAACACCTCCCCCTCACTGGTATATCACACAATCATTGACCATCATGCCTCGCACCGTTCGCCTCGCCGCCGCCCAAATGGGCACGACCAACAAATGGTCCTCGCGTGAAGAAACCCTAACCCGCATGATAAACCTTCTCAAGGATGCCGCCAACCAAGGAGCAAAACTGGTCCTATTCCCTGAAATCGCCTTCACCACATTTTTCCCCCGATACCTGATCCTCGACGAAGCCGAGCTAGAAGATTGGTTCGAGCACGGAGATATCCTCACCGCGCCGCGCACAAAGGCACTCTTCGATACCGCTCACGATCTTGCCGTCGATATCATCGTCGGCTTCGCAGAAGCTACCGACACAGGAGAGCACTTCAACAGCTGCGTGTACTATCACGCTGCGACAGGGTCAATTCTATCCAGATACCGCAAGGTTCATCTCCCTGGTGATGTGGAGCCACTTCCTGATCCGAAAGCCGTGAATCAGCTCGAGAAGCGGTACTTCAAGCCGGGGAATCTGGGATTCCAGGCTGTCCGTGTGCCGGGCCTCCTCTCCCCGTCACTATCACAACATCAAGAAGGTGAAAAAGATGTAGACCCCATCCTCGGAATGATGATCTGCAATGACCGCCGCTGGGCAGAATCCTGGCGCGAATATGGCCTGCAAGGTGTCGAAATCGTCGCCTGTGGATATAATACCAATGGCTTTGCGCCGCAGTTCTGGGGCCAGTCGGCGGATATGACTCCCGAGGAAGCGGAGGAGTTGTCCCTGTTTCATCATAAACTAGTCATGCAGTGCCATAGCTACACGAATGCGTGTTTCAGTGTTAGTGCTGCGCGATGTGGACTTGATGATGGGGAGTATCCCCTCATCGCGGGGTCGAGTATTGTTGATCCCGAGGGGAGGATTATTGCGGAGGCGAAGACGAAGGAGGATGAGGTTATCATTGCGGACTGTGATTTGGGGCTTTGTCGCGCGGGAAAGACCCGTACGTTCGATTTCGGGAGACATCGCAGGGTTGAGCATTATGGGAGGATTACGGGACAGACGGGGGTGGTGGAGCCACCGTCCACTACCAGCTCGGATATTATCGTCCCAAAGACGGAGAAGAAAGGGAAGATAAGGGTCCTACTGATAAACCCCAACTCCACACCCTCCATGACAGATACTTGCATCTCTATGGTGAAACCGACCCTCCCACCAGACGTTGAGATTGTCCCCTTTACTGCTCCCATCCCTGCCCCGTCGGCAATTGAGGGATCCCTCGATGCTGTTCTGTCCGCTGCCGCTGCCG